CAGGATTGTGCCTAAGACGAGCCATATTCTGTCCCAGTATCAACACCAAGATCAAAGAGGCCAAGAAACCATGGATTTTGAAGTTCACAATGCTGTGTGTGACAGAAACAGTTACTAGAGGAGTTCACTTTTCAATGTAAGTCAATAGGAGCCAGAGCGAGTTGGAGCAAAACGAGAGACAGTTTGTATCTTTGTAAATCAGGTCACTTAACAGTACCTCTTTCATTCTACAACCGTATAATGAATAACATCTTTTTATAGCTTAACATGTAGAATCGTGTAGTTTGTTTGTGTACAGTAAGGGTATTTGCTCGGATGAACCTTGTGCTTCACACTGAGTTAAACATACGCTCCACGTGAGGCCTGGAGGCAGTGAACAATAAGGAGACTGTATAAAAGCACTATAATGTTATTTATAAGTTTAAAATAGATAGTTGTATGAGTCTAGTGTTTAAGTGTGATATAACGGCAGATTTCTGACCGTAGGTAACTCCGTCAAGCAGGAATGGTCTTACAAACTGCTTTGTTGAAGGTAATACCCATTGGTTTGCAAAAGTACTAATACAGCTGTAAGTTTTGGACAAATTGTCCTGTTTTCACCCAAAAATATGACTTGATGCATTGGATTTAAAGAGCACTTTTTGTGACACTCAAAGATGCGTCACATGCAGTGGGGGAGGGTCCCAGCTCAAAAGTGGCCAAAATGACGTGCGCTGACATGCTGCAATACCACCCCGGGCCGATGGGGGTGGACCCAGAAGTAGAATTAAGGTCTGCCAATGCTATATGCTAACATATAGCATTGGCAGACCTCTCAAAAACGTCTTTACAGGATGGACCAAAAGTTGGCTCTTGGCCCAAAGCTCCGTTCCACATGTGTGTCAATGCTGAGGGGGGTGGATTGTTTTGGTCCACTCTAGTTTACTTGCTGTGAATTTTTGAAGTCTCTCGTTCAAATGAATTGCGCCGGCTGACGCATGCGCAGATGCGTTTTTTCACAATTTTCTTGTGGGCGGGACCACTCGCGGCCATTTTGGATTGCTCCAGTAGAGCACATTTTTTGGCCCATTAGTTAGAACGGCGGAGATAGGCGTGACTCTGTCCGTTAATATATACAGTCTATGGTCACATGGCGTCGCATGCAGTCCCTCTACACAGTGGTGATACGCACACACACTAACCACAGCTGCTTTGGGGCAGACTGGCAGAAGCAAGGTACCAGTCTGTGCCATTGGCCGCTCTGACCACCTTATCCTCACACCAGAATTATACTAGACAATGTGAAGGTGAAGTGTCTTGCCTAAGGACAACAACAACATTTTTGCACATTATACTGTAGCTGCAGCTGTCTCACTATGGCACCTGGTGTTCCTAGAATTCCCCTTCACAGTACTAACCAGCCCCGCCATGCTTAGCTTTGGAGGTTTGACGGGATCTATATTTCTCAAAGGTGGCGCCACTGAAAGTAGACAGAGGTGAAACACATCAGGGCGAGGCAGACAATCAACACAGGAAGTACAACTAAAACCAAACCACAGAAAACTGAAAACCAAAGTACAAAAATAAAACCACACCATGACATATTTATTGTATTTAAGAAAAGAAAACTGGATTATAAATTGTTTTCACTCGAGATATGAGTTATACCAACCCGTGAAAATATCCTCTTTGCCCGTTTTCTCACTTTGAGAGAGTAACAATTCTTGTCCCACTGCCCCATACCACGCCCCCTTCGGGTCACGTGACTTCACACAAGCAATTGCATGTGCAGGGGCGTATGATAGTTGCGCAAGGCCCCGGCACAAATCTGCGCATTGCATAATGGGCACATGGTCCTTAACCAAAGGGCCCATTGCTGCACAATAAAGAGCCACGGTTGCACCGCCTTGCTCTACACCGCTGTGCATACGTGCACGTGGAAAAATGAGTCATGAATTGCCTCTTTGGAATGACAGCTAATTGTTAAACACCTGTACCCAGCCTAACTCCGCCCACATGAACATTTAAAAATTTTCTCTAAAAATGACAAGAGGGGGGCTTAAAGTTGGGCGTGGCTGTCAATACAAATAAAACAAAAATAAGACAGTTGCCATTAGTGGTTTACCACCAAATTCAAATGTAGTGCCACCAAAAAGAGGGCGGTACACAGACTGTTCTAGACTCAAAAGTAAGATTTTGTCTAATTAGCAATTAAATGTAAAAAAAAAAAAAAATGACGAGAACATGTAGAATGCACTATAAGAAACATATTTATGCAGTTTATGAGTTAAAGTTGATTTTGTGTTTAGTTGTCCATTTAGTTGTGTTTAATTGTCCAACTTTGTGTTTAGTCGTCCATTATAGATAATTTGTGATAAAGCTGAATGACTTGCTTTAGGTGGATGTTGCTTTCCCAGTTCTTCTAGAGTATTTCTTTGACTTGGCATTTTACATCTCTGACGGATATCCCTTGAAAAGTGCCATCCTGTTGTGAACAATAAAACTCTTCCTGTTTCAAATGTTTTATGTTGTTCTTCCTCTGCACTGAGAACACATTTTACATTCTTACAGTACCTCTGCACATAGCAACACATAGAAATGAGAAAGCAGTTTTTCATAAGCAATAAAGAATCCACGTATTTGCGTTTCAACCTGCCCCATCTGTAGTTTAACTAGAATGTGTAGAATTCTGACTATGAAGTCCTGTGGAAAAAAACATGGCAAAACGTTGACAATTTTCAAACTTTCCACGCTTGTTGAGTTTTATTGGTTTCTCTCTTGTACCTTGGACTTAAAATGAAAACCATTGAGCCAAGCTTAAGTTTTTGTTGCATTGTGACAAAATTAGTTTCTCTTTTATCATGTGATATTCCTCTGATGTCGCTCTAAAAGCCAAACATTTGCACTGTCATTTTAGGATTACTTCTTGTTTGAGTTGAGAAAAACTTCTAAAGCTGTGCTCAAAAGAAAATGCAGACAATTGATATTATGAGAAGATGAAGTGTGTGTAATATAGGCATGTGTATGTGTATCTACTATGATGAATGTTAGAAAAAGGGAGAAAAGTAGGTTACATCATGAAAACAAATAGAAACTTGTGGCACAGACAGCAGAAAAATATAGTCTATTCTGAATGAATTAATAGGGAAGAAAAAGAAGCTACCTTGTTTGTTGGAGAAAGATGGTCAGTTTCTAATTGAGATTGCAAATCATTTAAACAGATATTTCATAAATAAACCAGGTGATTTAAAGAAAAGTATGGAGACTTGTAAGGATAGTATTCATTTGATATTTAACACAATTATTAAAGGAAAACACTCTGATTTCAAATTACAAAAGATAAGATAAGATAAGAATTCCTTTATTCGTCCCACAGATAGGTGATGTGACAAGGGCCTTAAAATCTAGTAAAGAAATGAGATGTGGGACCTGTGAGTAGTGGAGTGCCTCAGGGCAGCTGTCTCGGGCCATTACTGTACACTATTAATACTAATGGTTTGCCAACTGTTCTTAGTATTTCCATGTACGCAGAAGACTCTACTGTGTATATGTCAGCCACAACAGCCAACGGATTAAGAACTAAATTAGACAAAGAGTTAAAGGCAGTTATTCAGTGGATCTTTTCAAATGAATTTGTGCTGAATATAATAAATAAAATATAAACAATGGTATAATGGCAACACAAACATGAATTTAATTAGGATGATCTGATATCATCAAGCAATTACCTGTCCAGAACCAATGACAAAGTTGTGTTTTATTAGGATATAAAATATTTACACTACCGTTCAAAAGTTTGGGGTCACCCAAGTGTTTTCCATGAAAAGTCACACTTATTCACCACCATACTTTGTGAAATGAATAGAAAATAGAGTCAAGACGTTGACAAGGTTAGAAATATTGATTTGTATTTGAAATAAGATTTGTTTTACATCCAACTTTGCTTTCGTCAAAGAATCCTCCATTTGCAGCAATTACAACATTGCACCAAAAAACCTTATTTCTGTATTTCTTTACAGTTAAGACTAGTTTAAAGTTATCTACAGTGCTTTTCCTTCAAAATTAAGGACATTTCAATGTGACCCCAAACTTTTGAATGGTAGTGTAAATCGATTATCCAAAAAGTGAGATTTTTCAATAATAAATTCAACAGGAGCAAAGGACAGTTGAGGCAAGACTTCGTCCACAAGCAGGTTAGCACTGTCCGTCTGTGTACAGTCTATGGATACACATTTATTGTAAAGTCGTTGTCATGTGCACTTTTTTCCCTTGGTCTGTAATTATCGTGAGCATCTTATCTTTTATCGATGATATGATATAACCATGAAAATCACTTTATCCACCTCAATGTTGAAAATATTGAACTATTAATAGTTCATAGAACTGTTCATAGAAAAAAACAAGTTGTTTTTCTATGAACAGTGGATTAGAATGGTGTCTATAATGAACGTTTAACGTTTTTTCCCTGCTCCTCGTACTTTAGATGTGACGTTATTTAATTTCATTTCATTTTATTGAGAGCCCCATTAGCTCCTGACTTATTGCAGGGGCTATTCTATGTTATGAATGAAGGATGCAATAAGAGAAGAGCCTTGGTGTTCAGTAAATTACTGCTTTTTTCATCATTCCAACACATTCAGCAACGTTTGCCCTACAGAAACTGATGTGAGGTTTTCTGTTAGGTATAAGTCAGGGGTGTGCTTCTTGTCAGAAGGCCGAATTTAAAAAGACATGGTTTTGACGTTTATGCCAAACTATTTGTGGGAAAATGTATAGAGAAGAATGCGTTCACAAGTTATATGCACATATGCAAATAAGGCTTATATCTTATTGTACCATATGTTATACAAAGTCAGAGAGAAATATCCTTCTCTTTCATGTTTTAGCTTTGGACTCTTGTGTTTGCTGCTGTTGAATACTATGATTGTTGTTTATGACTAGTCTTGTTGTATTAAACCAACTATGTTCCATTTTCTTCTCCAGACGCCTCTGTAAACTACATCCGGCAACTGGAGATCAAGATGAGGATGTTGGAGGATGAGAACAGACAGCTCATAACACAGGTAACTTTGTATAATATGTAGGTTTATCTATCCAATTCTAGTTTAACATACAGTAGCACTGAAAGAGCCAAGTTTGCCATACAGACATTTTGGCTATACATTTAATTCATGTATTTTTTTGTAAGATATATATATTATATATGCCGATGGATTTGTATTTTATTTAGAGGAAGAAATAGCCCGTTTTTTTCGTTACTAGACTCGTATACTGTTTTACTGCACTATCAACCTGCACAAGCCAAACTAAAAAGCCGATTCGTTTTTAAATTAATGCAATTATCACAAGCTGGTTAAGTCTTAATCAGAAAGCACGGGAACAATGGGTTCTCTGTGTATACACTTGATACAAATGTGTTTATGGATATTTTATGATCTCTTCAGAACAGAGAGCTCTTATGTGGCTGTGTTTTTTTGTGCCGCAGGTTAACGGAGCCAATGTGAAGGCGCTGAGTAAAGGCTTGTCTCTGTATCATTCGGAAAGTCAGCTGTCAAACTTCCAAGGCGAGCTCCACAATGTTAGCAAAGATCTGCCTTTACCCACACCAACACAGCGAATGTCCTCTTTCAAACTGCTCATTATGAAGAGTTTCAGTCATGTTTGCTCGGATTTATGATGTGGTCCAAAAGAAATGATTGCTCAGTCTTAGATGACTAAGACAAAAACATTTTGTCTTTGTCATCTTAAAACAGGGGTCTCCAACCATTTTCAATATGAGAAATGGCAGAGAGCTACTTATTTTTGCAGTAATAAGTAATATAATATAGTAATATAATTCTATACAATAACTATGGAAAAACAAAGATCAAATATATCAAAATACTGTGGAACCCTACATCAGTAAACATAATGAATACATTTAGAGTTAAAATAGAATGTAGGGACTTCAAATCTTATCATTTTGGATCATGAGTGAAATTCCTGAATCCTTGGGAATATCTATCTATCTTTCTATCTATCTATCTATCTATCTATCTAGCTACCCATCTATCAATCCATCCCTCTTTCTCTATCACTATATCTTGAGCTAACACTGCCATCTAGAGATAGAAGTTGGGGATAGAAGATGTTGTGGTCTAATTCACTCCTTCTCAACTGGTGGGACTAGCCCCAAATAGTGGTTTGCAGGATCATGTAAGTAAGTAAGTAAGTAAGCTTTATTTATATACCGCCTTTCACAGACCAGAGTCACAAAGCGGTTTACAATTGTTATTTTTTGGGCATTTGTCTCTCACTCCACACAGAGATGGGAGCGGGGTCGCCGAACAGGAGGCGCATGCCAGACCTATTGTACATATTTTAAGTGGTAGGGGAAACCGGAGTACCCGGAGGAAACCTACGCAGACACGGGGAGAACATGCAAACTCCACTCAGAAAGGCCCTGGTCCGGCCGGGATTCGAACCCCAGAACCTTCAATGTAAGAGGTTTGCAGGCCTCTACTGAAGAATATAATTGAAATTGCAAACAAGTCATCTAAAAATAAGTCTAATTTTCTTTCATTTTTTGTTGTTGCAGAAAATCTTATGTTATTGGCCTTATTATGTGGTCCCTGTACTTGCAACTGGGAACTTATTAAACCTTGTAATTCTGCAGCCTCTGATGTTGTGATTTAATAAAGAACAAGCAATTTGGAAGTTGTTTTTGTGGGACCCCAATTAGATTACTGCTCTTATTAGCATAAACAATACTAATCACTTTATTACATTTTCCACCTGGCAGAAACATCAAGGGGGTCTGGGAAAGTCTTTACGAGGAAATCTGTAGGGCTTTTGATATTTGGAATGGTTAGAATAGTGTTTAGGTTTCTAAAGCTGGAGTACCTATATTTTTCTTTCAAGAATAATACATGTTTTTTCATATCACAAAGGTTTCATCTTATCATCTTATTTGAAACCATTTTATCTTTTGCATACTTGAAAAGTCACCATTTGATTATTGTTTTCCTGTAATCAAAACCAGTAGAATATGATTTATACATTTTATTTAAACTCTCCTTCTGGACTATACCACTGTTGGAGACGCTTTCATGTTTATAGGTTTCAGTTCCAGTTTAAGAAAGAGGAAGGAAACCTGATCTCTCCCATTGACAAAAGTCCTCATCGTATTGATCTTGTCCCACATTACTGCACACACAGCTACTTTACTGCAGTTCCTGTCACCATGGGAACACCCCTCTGCCAAAAACCAATAGAAAAATTGGGCATTGATTTAGTCACATCTCATCTAATTTATGTAGATTAGTGACTTTATAAGATTGTATCGAAGTAATATGTATAGATAATACTACACTCTTTCTATCAATTTTAACATTCAACAATTTAGACTACATAAAGAATAAGATTCCACAGTGGGGACATTTCAGTGTTGCATCACAAGTTACAGAACAGTAGGAATAAGGAGCACACAACACGAGATAATATAAGTGAATACTAAGTATAGCACAACTCTATAATAATTTGAAAAACACCTGGACTATATGTACAGTACATTCAGACTATATAATATAACAAATATTTTTTGTTGGTGTAACAAAACATTTCTAATTTTATGGTCCGATTCCTGTTTTTTAGAACCACTTAAAGACATTACAGTACTCTGGCACAATTTAGCTTCAATGTAGGCACTAGGCAGAAAGACCTTTAAAATGTTCCAAGTTAGCACCATCCAGTAAAACAAGCACTGTTGTCGACACATCCGGAATTTTGAACCACTTTCAAAATCACTACTTGTGCAAATCCATAAAACTCTAACAGGGAAAGGGCTCTTATAGCCGTGTCCCGTTATCCTAGGTCCCACATACTTCTAAAACTCCTACTGCCGCTTTTACAGATTGTGGCTTTACACCCCCAAGCCGCATAGCATTATGGGATCTGTCCAAGTTTTTCCTTGTGTTAATAAATTAATAAATACAAAGCACTTGATAAATGGTAATAAAAAGCAATTGTAAGACAAAACAACACATATTTTTGATAAAAGATTGGTAAAATGTGATGGATGTAATATATTGGCCTATGTTACTCATTCTCTACTACATCTTACTAGTATATCATTACTTGTAGGTTTCACATTCTACCGACTGCATCTTTTAGTCTTTAATTTCCTCTTTTTTAAATTATCTTTCCCCTTGTTTTCATAACACGCTTCTTTCTTTCTAGCATGGTCCTATTCAAAAGAACATTTCGCTCTTAGTGTCCTGTTTATCACCTTGTTTGGAAAAGAGACCCTATATTCAGACAGTAGTAGTTTAATTGGGTGGTGCTGATCTAAATACAGAAAAAGTCAACACGAATACTATATAATTGTGCTTCGGGATCATCTTTCACCTACAGGTTTCCCCTGTATTTGCAGAGCTCCTCGGGTCTGTTTGCTTTTCTGTGTTATTTGAGCTTTCCCTGGTTTGATCACAGATTATAATCATGATTGTGTTTGTCTCCAGGGAACAGCCAGGACCCCCAGCGGAGAGCCATCTCCCACAGGACTCTACCTCTCCCCAGGACAGAAGCCAGAGGCAGTGGTCCATGCCATGAAGGTTTGTTCACTCACTGTTTAGTAATGGTTAAGTGCAGAGTTAAGAGTTACTCATTCCTAGTCTGGAATTATTGAACATATCACTGCCTTACAAGTTTCCAAATAAAGTGATATTTTTGCATATCTGTTGTGTTGACATGATTTTCAAGGTAGATTTGGCAGTCATTACAATTTACAGCACAACATTTTTTCTAATTTTGATATGCTTGAGCTTTTCTGGTGAGATCTCAAATGTTCAGTTCATGCAAGGCGGTCCAGGAATTTATAGGAACTGGGAGCTTTTTTGCCAAGAACAATGTACAGCTTTACCATCTGCAAGTATACAGAACCTCATTCACAACTACCACAAAAGACTCCAAGCTGTTATAGATGATAAAGGGAACTACACACTATTGAGAACACATTGATGGAGACTTCTGATCACGGTTAGAAGAGGAGTTTCTGTTGTCATTATATTTTGAGGAATAGAAAACATGTTTATTTGAAAAGAAATGGCACTAAAGATGCACTTTTTGTTATAATTTATGATCTCAGACCAATAATGAGGCATCTTAGAAAAATCTGTATATCAGCAAATATATACTTTCATGATGCAGAACAATGGGCCTCATTCACGAACGGTTCTTACGAACAAATTTGTGCGTAAATCCTACTTACGAGGATTTTACGAAGAATGTGGCATTCACGAATATTTCTCGTAAGCAGAATTTCTCTTAGGTAAGTACAAATCCTACGAGTGCTCAGGAGCCTCTTACGCACATTCAGTGCCGACATGTTCGCACGCTCGTGTTGTGAATTTCAATAAAATACAACATTACAGTGATATGTTTGCCATATTGATGTATGTATTTATTTATTTCATTGTTTATGGTAATTTAGTCATTTTTTAAATTCATTTGTAAACTTAATGCGCCAACGCTTTATCAAATACATTGGAAATCATGCCGTTAGTGACCCCATCCTTTCTCCATCCACGGGTCACAAAACAATGGAATATATACTGCTGCAGCAGGAGGACCGCGCTGGTCTCTCCATATGGTCTCTCCAGTCGCTGCGGTCTCTCTTCGGTCCGCGCTGGTCTCATGCTGGTCCCATGCTGGTCTCATGCTGGTCTCATGCGCTGGTCTCAGTCTATGCGGTCTTTCTTTGGTCCGCGCTGGTCTCAGTCTATGCGGTCTCTCTTCGGTCCGCGCTGTTCTCAGTCTATGCGGTCTCTCCTCGGTCCGCGCTGGTCTCAGTCTATGCGGTCTCTCCTCGGTCCGCGCTGGTCTCAGTCTATGCGGTCTCTCCTCGGTACGCTCTGGTTTCTGTGTGCTGGTCTCTCCAGTCTCTCCTTGGGTCTGCATTGGTCTCAGCGCTGGATCTCCTCTCAGGGTCCAAAATACTTTTAGATTAATCTCATAACATTTTGAGATTCATTTTTAAATTAATCTCATAACATTTTGAGATTAATCTCATCATTTTGCTAGTTCGACTTTATTCTCAAAATATTTCGACTTTTAAGTCAACATTTTATGACTTTATTCCTAGTCTGGCAAAAGAAGAAAAAAGGGTGACTCTTTTGCTCCGTGTAACTCTTTGCTTTAGGCCTGTTGCTGTTTCCTCTGGCGTCTGCACACGGCCCTGTAGTCCCTTATATGGGCATTAATGGGCGGTTACCTATGCTAAGTACCTATGCTAATGAAGCACCGGGCACGCGCGCTCTACTTACGAGGAGTTGGCATTCATCAATCTAAGAGAACAGCTGCGAACAATTCAGCGGCTTACGAGTGCGTTGATGAATCCCACGTAGGGTCTTCTTAGAAATCTACTGAAGAACAACTTGAGAAGAAATTTAAGAAGTTTCTTACGAAGTTATTTGTGAATGAGGCCCAATCTTTTTAATGAATTCCAGTCTGGATTTTGTCAAGCTCACTCAACTGAGACTGCCTTAATTAAAGTCTGGAGGCTCAACAACTCCCTCCTTCGGGATCAGGCATTCAAAGACAAAATAACTCAAGTGATTGAACGTTATCTGGAGGAAAATGACAATAATGAAGTTAACCCTACAATAATATGGGAAGCAGCCAAAGCCACTGTTAGGGGAGAAATTATCTCCTTCTCATCCAGGAAAAAAAGACAGAGGGAAAACAAAATAAGATACTTGGAAAATAGAATATATAATCTGCAGGAAACCGCTAGTGGGTTAAGAGACCCAACGTTTGTGAAACAATTGTCTGAAGCTAAAGATGAATTGGAATGTATCTACCTGGAAGATTTTGAGAAGGAAGCTTCTCTGGCCAAACAAATTATCTATGACTATAGCCCAAAAGCCCAAAAGGTATTGGCATCAAAAATTAAAAAAAGAAAAGAACAGGCTTTGATAGATACAATATTGGACAAAGACTCTATTCCACAACGAGGGCTACAAGAAATTCTGTCCTGCTTTAAAAACTATTATGGAAGTCTTTACAGCCCTGAAACAGACACTGTTCCTGAACACACAATTAATACATATCTTAATAAAGTAAATCTTCCTACTGTGACTGCGTCCCAGAATGAAGGTTTAATAAAAGAAATTTCAGAAACTGAAATCCTAAAACATCTTCAAAAGGGAAAGTTAGGAAAATGCCCAGGAGCAGACGGTTTCAGCTATGAATTTTATAAAGAGTTCAAGCATCTTATTTGTCCAATTTTGTGTAGAACTTTTAACAAGTTGATGCAAACAGGAATATGGCCAGACACATGGAAAGAAACAATTATAACAGTCCTGTCAAAAGAGGGAAAAGATGCTAAACATTGCTCTTCATATCGACCAATATCACTTTTGAATGTGGATCAGAAACTATTCACTTCTATTATAGCAAATCGACTTTTGGACATCCTGCCCCAGATTATAAACTTGGACCAAACAGGTTTTGTTAAAAATAGATTCCTTAGCGACAACATAAGGAGGACAATAAATATTACGGACCATGTCACTAAAAACGGCCTGCATATGTTTATGCTAACGCTAGATGCCGAAAAGGCTTTTGACCGCGTGTCCTGGCCTTTCCTCTTTGCAACATTACGAAAGTTTGGCTTTCATGAACAATTTGTACGAGGGATGTATAAGGAATCAAACGCTCGAGTTAAAGCTAACGGCTCACTTTCTAAAGTCTTCCAGATAAGGAGGGGCACGAAACAGGGAGATCCTCTCTCACCCCAAATGTTTGCCTTATGCATCGAACCCTTGGCAGAATGTATCAGGATAAATAAGAATATAAGTGGAATAAAGCTAAAAGAGGAGGAACACAAACTAGCACTATATGCAGATGATATTATTGTTTATTTAACAGATGTATATAGATCTCTACCAGAATTAATGGGGGAAATCTGTGAATATGAGACGATGTCCGGTTATAAATTAAATTCAAATAAAACAGAGGTGCTGGAAATGGGCTGCCAACTTAAGGTAACTTTTAAGAAAAAGTTCAACCTGAAGTGGGACAGAGATAAAATAAAATACCTGGGTATCGTAATTCCAAAAGACATTGACAAATTATATATGTATAACTATAGAGCACTCTCAGACTCCTTAAAGCAGGACATTGGTAGGTGGAAAAACTTGCCCCTCACATTGTTGGAAAAAATAGAAATAATTAAAATGAATATTTTGCCACGGCTCTTATTTCTGTTTCAGAATTTACCCTTATACCTAACTAATTCATGCTTTAAGGAATGGGATGGCCTCTTAAGAAAAATGATATGGGACGACAAAAAACCAAGGGTCAAACTTAAATGTATGCAGAGTAAAAGAGAGAGAGGAGGACTGGGTCTACCAAATTTGCTTCTGTACTATTATGCATCTCAATTCAAATACATCCTTACATGGATGAACCGTAAAGTGAATCCAAAATGGAAAAGTATGGAAGCGGATATGGTGGATTCACTCTCCTCCTATATCTTCTCAGAGCAACCAGTGGAAAGATTAAAGAATGTAAACTTAAATATTTATCATACATGCAAAATTTGGAAAAATATTTGTAGAAAATGCAAGATAAAGCCAACAGAAACGGTCTGTCTTAGAGAAATCTGCCAGGACCCAGATTTTACTCCAAATCGTACAGATGAGACTTTCAGAATGTGGAAGGATCGGGGGCTGACAAGGTTCCACCAACTATTTAAGAACCAAATTTTAGAAACATTTGAAAATTTAGCAAAGGAGTATGATCTCCCAACTCATCACTTTTACAGATACCTTCAAGCAAGATCCGACATAAGTGGGAAAACCCAGCCGGCTCAACCTCCACACCAACTGATTTTACACATCCTGAAAGTCTATGAGAATTCAAATTATAAAAAATTGACAAGACAAATTTACAAGATTCTGAATGATGAATATTATAATGAAGTAAATATGATTAAATCCTCTTGGGAAAAGGACCTCCAAAACCCTGTGACAGATGAGGAGTGGAGTTTGGGCTGTAGAAACATGTTCTGTTATTTGAAGTTTCCATTCTGGCAGGAGTTTGCATGGAAGCTGCTGGTCAGATTCTTCAGAACACCTCTGTATGTCAGTAAATGCACCAATCTTGAACAATTCTGCTGGAGAGACTGTGGTGAAACACAGGCAGACCATGTGCATATACTGTACACATGCCCCAAAATTCAGATCTACTGGAATCAGGTCATACAAATGATCAAACATACCTGTGGACAAAATGTTTGCCTGAAACCAAAACACCTCTTGCTTGGTATCCAGCCAAACGGTCTGGAGGAAAAACACCACTACATCTTTTTTACCCTAAGAATAACAGCCATCAAACAATTAACAAGATATTGGAAGAAAACGGAAATTCCCACTATAGCGACTTGGCATGAACTCATTATGCAAATATACAACATGGAAAAAAAGAAATGTAGTCATCTAAGGACATATGAAAATGCTGTGTTCAAAAGATGGTCATCATATATAAATAAATTCCAACAAAAATAAAAATGAGAACATGACAAATAGGATAAAATGATGAATATAGAATCAAATATTATATGACACTAGACTTAACTATTTGGATATATGTATGTATGTATGTACGTGTGTGCACGTGTGTATGTATGTGTGTATGTATGTGTGTGTATGTATGTACATACATGTATATGTGTGTACACATGTATATATGCATATATGTGTATGTGTATATGTGTGTGTGCGTGTGTGTGTGTGTAGGTATGTACATATATATATAGGCTATTTTTCTTTCATGCATCTCATTTTGTCTGTATAATTATTTTGCCTTTTTTTATTTATGTTTTTATTTTTATTTTTTTATTTATGTTTTTATTTTTATTTTTTTATCTTTTGTTGCAACTAATGACATTTCACATGGGTGCTCTAAAAATGTATAAATGTATATGCTCAACTGAACCATACATATGTAAAAAAAAAAAATATTGTTCTTTGTTTACAAAGTCTGTACATTCACAGTGCAAATAAAGACACTGAGATTTTCTACAGTGGTTTAAGTCCTACTTAAAAGAGAGGGAGTTTTACGTGTCTACCGGCAGCTATGAGTCTGCAAAAACAAAGATAACATGTGGAGTGCCACAGGGGTCCACACTGGGCCCACTTTTATTTTCTAGATTTTGAATTCAGATTATGAATTTCTACAACATCTCATTTCATACATATGCTGATGACACACAGCTATATATTTCTGTATCTTCTCAGGATTTAAGTCCACTGCAAACATTGAGGGACTGCATCCATCTTGTCAGAGAATGGACAGGTCAAAACTTTCTTCAGCTTAACGTGGAGAAGACAGAAGTTATTGTCTTTGGACCTAAAAACGAACGTTCCAAAGTTAATAGCTACAGTATCTAGACTCCTTGTCGTTACAAATATCAAACGAAGTAAACAATCTTGGTGTAATTGTTGATTCCGATTTAAATGTCACCAAGCACGTTAACACCATCACCAAGTCTGCTTTTTATCACCTTAAAAACATAGCTAGAGTTAAACACTGTCTTACTATGCAAGATCTTGAAAAACTTATACATGCTTTTATCTTCAGCAGATTGGATTATTGCAATGGTATTTTTACAGGGCTCAGCAGAAAGTCCATACAACAGCTGCAGCTGATTCAAAATGCAGCAAGAGTCCTCACGAATAAAAAAAAATGTGATCATATCACGCATATACAATCTTTACACTGGCTTCCAGTCTGTTATAGAAGAGACTTTAAAGTGCTTCTCTTGGTGTACAAGGCACTGAATGGACTTGCCCCAAAATATGTGCAAGATATGCCTGTTCCATATGAAAACGAGAGGGACCTAAGGTCATCTGGGACGGGTTTACTGTGTGTCCCAAATATCAGGACCAAAAAGAGCGAAGCAGCATTTAGTTTTCATGCTCCTTGTCTGTGAAACACTCTTCCACATGAACTGCGAACTATTCCAACTATAGGAGCGTTTAAATCAAGTATTAAAACATGGCTATTTGCCTCAGCATTTACATAAGCCCATGCTCTTTGGGAAACTTTTTATCGTATGTATATGCATTTATAAGGATGTATGTGTGTATGTGTTTGTATGTATGTATATGTATATATATATATATATGTATGTATGCGTATATATATGTATATGTATGTATATGTGTGTATGTATATATTTGTAACTATTACAGATTCATGTTTATGTATTTGTACCTAGTTGTGTATCATGTGTGTATATATATTTTTTATATTTCATTTTTTATGTTTTTTTTATTCCTATAATGTTTTATTGTTTGCCAATGTTCTCTTTGTGCCTGTAAAGCACCCTGGGTTGCTTCTGTATGAATGGTGCCTTATAAATAAATTTGCCTTGCCTTGCCTTGCATTGGAGATATTTATCTCCAATGCCTCGGCTGCGGTTTGCAGCTGAGTGTGAAGCGGCTGGGATGAGAATCAGCACCTCCAAATCCGAGGCCATGGTGTTCGACTGGAAAAAGGTGCCTTGCCCTCTCCAGGTGGGTGGAGAGGTCCTTCCTCAAGTGGAGGAGTTCAAGTATCTCGGGGTCTTGTTCACGAGTGAGGGAAGGATGGAGCGTGAGATTGACAGGCGGATCGGTGCAGCGTGCGCAGTGATGCGGTCGCTGTATCGGACTGTTGTGGTGAAGAGGGAGCTGAGCCGAAAGGCAAAGCTCTCAATTTACCGGTCAATCTTCGTTCCCTCCCTCACCTATGGTCATGAGCTTTGGGCAATGACCGAAAGAACGAGATCGCGGATACAAGCGGTCGAAATGAGCTTCCTCCGCAGAGTGGCTGGGCGCTCCCTTAGAGATAGGGTGAGGAGCTCAGTCACACGGGAGGAGCTCAGAGTAGAGCCGCTGCTTCTCCGCGTCGAGAGGAACCAGTTGAGGTGGCTCGGGCATCTGTTCCGGATGCCTCCTGGACGCCTCCCTGGGGAGGTGTTCTGGGCACGTCCCACCGGGAGGAGGCCCCGAGGAAGACCCAGGACACGCTGGAGGGACTATGTCTCTCAGCTGGCCTGCCGCCTTGGGGTCCCCCCGGACGAGCTGGAGGAAGTGTGTGTGGATAGGGAAGTCTGGGCGTCTCTGCTTAGACTGCTGCCCCCGCGACCCGGCAACGGATGAAGCGGACAAAGATGGATGGAATGGAGATATTTACTCTTTCATAGGCAGAAGTGCTTTTTTAAAAATGCTTTAAATTTACAAAATGAATAATTGTCAGCTTCGGCCAATGATAACCATTGATAACCAAGCTGAATGCCATCTCTCTCCCTTGTTTTTCCTGTCTTCAGGTTCTGGAGGTGCATGAAAAGCTGGACAGAACAAACACACAAGAATATGAGGAGGACCTGAGTGAGAAGGAGAAAGCCATCGTAAGAGAGATGTGCAACGTATGTATACTTCCATATGGTCTTGAACATGTTACTGCTATCCAATTATTCAAACATTATCTGTGCTTTAACCGCAAGTAAATGATTATACAAGTGTGTGTATTGTGCCTTCCATCAAATACAAACAGTTTTAAGTTTGTGGCTTAAGTTTGTTTTAAGTTTAAATTAAGTGGATAGCAGTCTTGTTTCTTAGCAAGAAGGTCCTGGGATCGAATCCAAGTCGGAACCGACCCTTTCTGTGTGGAGTTTGTATGTTCCCCCGGTGTCTGTGTAGGTTTCCACTGGGTGCTCCGGTTTCCCCTACCACTAAAAAAAACATTTACAATAGGTCTAAATGTAATGAGTGAGTGAATGGATGGTGTTTGTTGGGAGCTTTGATGCACCAGTGTGTTTGGTGTCTCGCTTCTGTCATCACCGTGTGGAGAGAATTTAACCCTATCTGAACTCGGAACATTGTAAAACGCTTTGGGTGACCTTGGTCTGTAAAAATGTGCTATATATAAATAAAGTACTTACATACCTACTTACTTAATTTTGAATCAACCTAGTTTTAAACCATATATTATTTATCTCTGCTTCCACAGAACATGAAAGCAAAGGAAGACTTTTTTTGTATTGCCTATCACACTTGCAAACTATGAATTTGCATTGTGGGACAACATTCAACAATTACAGCTGAATAGTTCAGGAAGGTTTAAGGTTCAAGATCCAAATCTCTTAGTAGATTTGGTTCTTCTAGACCAGACAAATGTACAATAGCAATGTTATTACCTCGACATTTTTCAACAGCATACCTCCGTCTTCCTCAGAAGCATTGCGTCTCACATTTGTCCGATGCAACGCTTTATTTTTCTTTAAGTTATTTATAAAAAAACGAAATAACTTGATTCCTGCTGAAATTTGATCAAACTCAACATGCTATTTTCATCTTATTAGAAAACCTTTTACCGTGAATTACTATTTGAGAGTTTTACAAAGATGATGAACAACAGAAAAACGAAAACAACGAACGGGAACTGTCCATAAATGTTAATAAACGTCCATAAATATCCTTGAAGTAGCAGTAACGTATTACATTTGAAATAGTTTTGCTTTTGCTTTTCAGGTGGTCTGGCGAAAGCTCGGAGATGCCGCTGGCGCAAAGCCCTCAGTGAGACAGCAGCTCTCAGGAAACCAGTTCAAGCCTCCTTCATAGTGCACAAAAACCTATGGACCAAACCATTTGTCTCTCCGCACTGCAAAACACCATGTCTATGAGTTGCAATTACTTGGCACTGGAATTTTAATATTTTTTTGCACAGTTTTGACAAATCAACATTTATCTAGGCTGTAGTAACGTGCTTTCTTTCAGATATTCCACTAATTTCAATGTCCAGCTATATTACCAGACATGCACCTAACAGCCCATGCAAGAAAAGCAGGACATCATTTTTTATAATCCATGTTTATTCCAATGCTTTTGACACATTCCTCATGTCCTAATTGTTCAATGGAATGTGTTTAAAAGCAACTTTGCTCAAATACATGGACACAAATCAGGACACCATTTCTTATGTCTTTATCAGAATAAATACATATCTCCTTTATACTATTAAACCTTAAAACAGTATATTAAGAGTTAAAGAGTCTTGTCAATCTTTTGCATACTTGTAAGACAGAGCCCTATGAGTCATTTTTTGATGTTTTGGACTGAGAACTGAGGACAAAAAATATGTCTGAGAAAACTGAGAATATGTGAAAAGATTGAAAAAGAGCCAAACTTTTTTGAGATAATGGCAACTAGTTAGATGGATGTAGTTAGTTGTTTTTTGTTTTCTTTTTTTATTAGATACTCCAGCTTTAAGAGAACCTTAAAGAGCAGTGGGAATAGTGAGCCCTCAAAACAAGATGAATGGAAATCACTCAAAAATAAGCCAACTGCTGCAAAAATACCAAGAAAAAAATCAGGCGCTGTCTCCACCAACCCCTCTTGGTCCTACTGAACTCTACACAGCTCTATTCTACACCAATTGGAAGCATTTCCACCGGCTCTGTTTAACCGGTACCAGGTACTTTTTTAGTATCTGGTTGGCCCTGAGCTGGTACTGAAGTGTTCTAACTGACAGTGATTGGCCAGCGTGCTACTCGAAGCCATGATCACCAAGGAATTTCCCCAGATATTATTTTCTCGCTAGGATACGGTAGCTGATACTAAAGTGTAAGGGAAACACAGCCAGGTAGAGAAGCGCTGAGTACAAAGTAGGGAGATGTGCATGGTGGAAAGATTAAGCGCTGTTCACAAATAAATACTATTGTTGTGGAATTAAAGTTAGATCACTCAAAAGCAGAATAATGAAAACTGGCCAAGCTCATTTGTTTAGGTGATTAATCAAGTCAAAACTGCTCAAAACTGTATTAATATTCCAATTTTGTCAGGTATCAAATCTGTTGTCTTGGATACGGGATGGCTTTCCCCAACTGGATTTTTCACTTAAAACTATGAACTGATAAAAAGGGACTGAAAGCATCCTAAATTAAGAACCATCTCATTCTGGGACAATTTTTACTTTTTCTTTTATAGTGCCTGAACTCTCCAGTTAATGAAGGACAAACGGACATAGGGGATGCAAAGATGTCCATGGATTTGTCTTTGTCTCTCAACCTTGTATTTTATTATAATTTAGTTGAAATATTGACTTTTTCAATGACTAAACAAAACCGAGTCTGCATAAGAACTGAAGCAGGACCAGGCTTGAACCTGGACCCGGACTTTACGATGTTGTTTGTGTCATTGTTAATTTTCACAAAAGCATTTCACTTCATGTGTTTGATATTAACTCCACTGCGGTGCCACACTAACTATTGTCTGTTCAGAGGAAAACACGTAGTTTGAAGGCTGTACATGTGTTAGAGGGTAGTATTTTATTTTTGTATGTTTTATAATCTATTCCCATTCTTAACCTGTTGAACATCTCAACTGATCAAATGTTTTCTTCATTTAAAACAATATTTTCACAAGTACAGTACCTGTTGGACTATTAGCACATAGTTTATTTCAAGTTCTTTGATCCCCAAGGCCATTATAGCAAGGCATGTATTTTGTTAGTGTGTCCCCTTGGGTGCAGGAAGGATTCCTGCTTCTGTGCGTTTATGTGAACAGTAGAGACGACAAGAGGATGTGCAGGGAAATACACAAGACTTGTTTTAATGTGATAAGGGATATTTAATGTTTTTATGGACTAATTGATTCAACTCCATTGTTGTAGAAGGAGTGTTCTTGTCACAAGAAAAAAAGATTGGATTTACCAGATTGCTTTAATCATCTTGAGTCAAGAGAGCGATGTTTAGCTCCATCAGCTGTTGGTTACAATACATAAAACGTGCGGCCTGTATGTGGGTAAAGCGTACTTTTTCTTCAAATGTTGCTGGTGCTACTGGTTATATAGTCCATCAAGTACTGTGTGGAGGATCCTTAGAAACACATGATATCTGATAGCTGTACCTTATAGATGTACAAGGCACAGCTGGCCCCAGTGGCATACTGTCTATTCTAATCCTCCACAATGATTGGAGGGTTGAGTGAAAATGTCCTTTTGTATAATTTTAGGTAGATTATGCATCTGCTTCAAGTGTTTTTCCCCTTTTTTCATTTTCATGAAAATGAGCTGATGATGAAATGTTTGCACCATGTGCTTCCTTCTGTTTCTTTAGTGGAAATCCTGTTTTATTGGATTAGAAACTTGTTTTATTGTATGTGCGTTTGAACACAACACTGAACCCAAGTTTATCTCTGAGCTCCTGTACAGAATCAAACTGGAATAAAATTTTATATTTGACTTTTATGGAGTTTCTTTGCTTGCGAACACAAAAGCACTCACATCACTGTGGTGGAACTGAGGTAAAACGCAATAATTCTGTAATAATAACTAGCAGTAAATAATAATTACTGTTAATGTCAAGAGGCAATAACTTGACTGACTGAGATACTTAGAGAGGGATTTTATTAAAATGTTTTAGTCTCAAATGGAAACTTACTTTAATTAAAATCTTAATATATATCTTTTGGAATGCCCAGCACTGATTTATGCACATATATTAACATTTATAGACTGTTCAGCCCCCTCCCAATGGACCAATGGCTCCTATCTATTTGTTATTATTGCATTTTATGTGTTCAAACTGTTTTTCTCCTCTGATCTGTTGTTGCAGAATCGACAACTTTGTGTTGTTGAAATGAATTGAATTGAAAAAAGACGTCCAAGCAGCACTTCTACCTTCTCAAGTGAATCTGTGCTGACATCTAGTGGCAGAGCCTGCTTACTGCAAAGATATGATACACAATCTATACTGCCCTATACTTTATCACACATCATATTTTTTGTGTAAAAAGTACCATAGCAGAAATACATTGTTAATTAAAATTCATATTTATTTATAAAAAAAATAACATTAAACAAATTTAAACATAACTGACTTAAGACTTTGACAAAACCTGGCTTTACTTCTGCAAAACAAGACAACATTAAAAAAAAACTATACAAACTCAATACATTAGATGATAATACTCATTAGAATACTATTTTAAAATTACATTTAAATATAGGGTTTTTCAAATGTACGTCGTACAAATGATGGCACCAGGAAGACGAGTCACGTAACACTGGAGCAGCTCGGTCAGTCCGTCTCACCTCATCCAGGAGCCATGGCCCATCCCGCTCACAGGGGGCATCCCAGGTGGGAGAGGGGGGGGCATCTGGCCGTGTCCTGTGGCTGAGGGTGGAGGAGGGGGAGGGTACCCGGGGGTCAGACTTGAAGCCAGGCCCAGCACGGGGGGAGGCAGCAGATAGCTATAGGCCGACAGCGGGGGGTAGGAGGTTGTGCTGGTGGGGAAGTGGTAGCCCAGCGGAGGAGCACAGGCCGCGGGCACCGAGGGGTAGCAGGAGGTCTCGGTCTTCATCATGGACTGCAGCGTCTGGTAGCCCTCACTGGACAGAAGTGAGCTGGAAGGCGGGACGTCCAGGGGAGGCGGGGGAGGTGGAGGCGGGCAGTGGGGCAGGGGTGGGGGTGTGGGTTTGGGGGGGAGCTCCGGAGCAGACGGGTACGACGGTTTGTGGTCTTTGAAAGAGTAAGAGAGACAAATAAGGATGGTGTAGGGTAAAATTGGCTTTTTCGTACTGCGGCCCTGCATCTTTTAACATGTGATGAAATGGTGTGTCGACCCGAGACAGCTTTGTGTCAGCTTTTTACCACGAGTGAGACAGGAACGTGGCAAAACAACAAACTTTGCTGTCTATACACTGGCCGAGCGCGCATCCACGTGGCTGCTGATGCTGCCTCTGTTTAGTCTATGGGGAAGTGTAGAGGAGAGTACAGGCCAGAAAACTGATGTAGAGTAACAAAAATCACATATACATGTATGTTTGTCCTCATGGTCTCTGTGAGCTGGTGTGGCCAGACGTGAGACTTATTGAATCCATGTCCAGAATCACTGTGAAACCTGCTAGCCCTCCTCCTACTGTAATGTTTACATACTAGTGGACGTGATCTAGAGCCACGAACCACTAGAAAAAACATGTTTCCCATGTGTTTTGACTGGGAGATGCGTTTTTGCACAAGAAAAATTAAAAACCCATTCTAGTTTAGGCTCAGCCTCACGTCAAAACGTCTTACGCGCGTATAACACTACTTGTGTAAATATCACCGTAGGTTAAAATGGAAACATTTATGCACATATGCTGCGCGTACAACGCTTACGTGCTGTAACGCCTCCTGTTTAAATTAGCAGTAATGGACTACGGCAGGTTTATCATCCATGTTGAGCAATTGAACATTTTCAAAAGAATATATTTTTTACGAGGACAACATTACAATCGAAAGTGCAGCGAGTGCAACAGCACAAAACCCAAACCTTGATTATATTGCTATTATGGAAAGTACTGTCCATCATGACTTGTGTGTAGTTTTATACACTTTGCCCATATTGGTTAACTGCTCACACTGAACACGCCTCGGTAAAACGTCTAGGTTGCGAAGCGTGTTTTTGAGCAGTGAGAATGAGGCTATAGGCTATACTTTCTTTTATCTGTTTACATGTTTATCTATACATTTTCTTCTTGTTCATCGTCTCATCCTCATCTTCAATAATGTTTAAAGGGTAAAATGAACACAGATAGGACAAACATCATTGAATAAGTCACAATAAGTCACTTTAAGTCACTTATGACCTTCACCAGGACTGAAAAACCAGCAATGCTATAGCTTTGAATTGTACATAATATATCCTGTAGTATCCTATATTTTTAACCTTTAACATGTTTGCACACTCTTTTTGCACAATTTGAGACAAATGTGACATTTTACTTTCTCCATTGTGAGCTCAATTAAATGTATCTTATATTATCTTAAAAGCCCTCACCTGGATTGACGGCAGGTGCAGGTGGAGGAGGTGGAGGTGGTGGAGGAGGAAGCAGCTCAGCAGATGAAAGCTCTAAGCAACAAACCAAACAATAAAATTCATGTTACTTTGTGGTTAAAAAAGAATGAACATTGGTTAGGTCAATTAATCTTACTTGCGGGCTTGCTTTCCTCTTTAGGAGATGGCTGGGAAAGAGAAAGATAAATGGTTAGAAAGAAAATGTATTCATTCATTGATACACCTAAAGGGTTAACAAGATCAAGGGTCTCAGATTAAGAAAAATATTTAAAAAATATGAATGAGTCGTTTTAGTTAACATTGAACTCTTGTACAGCCTATGGGAATTTAACCATATCCAGATAATATAGTACATCAATTATATCTAACACAAATATGTGAAAGTGTATAAACCTAAAACAAATAAAAAGTATGCAACTACCCACCATCAAATATTCATTCTCAGTCTTAACTTCTGAGAATGAATATATAGATTGCAGCTTTTGATTCTATTATCTGCATTTTTATGTGATTTTGATTCATATTTCAACAGAGGTAATCCATATTGCTACTTGAATGCTGCACAGCTTGTGAAGTTACCTGAGTGGGTTTGGGGGGTCTAGGGCTGGTCTGAGGGGAGGCCTTCTTCATGGATGGGGGGCCAATGGGGGAGGAGATGGAGGGGATGGAAGAGTCTGTGGTTGCTCCGTCAGGTATCTGCTGCTTGGCCTGAGAGTACAGGTCCAGGATCTGGTGGCAAATATCTGCGAGAAGATCATTTGCATATTATTTTACTGCAAAGTTCTAGATAAGGTTAGTTTGGTTATTTACTTGTAGATTTCATCTCAATTTTTAATGCACAGCGGTAATTTATGTTTTATTTCCTTGTGTGATTATTATGTTTTAATGGTTTTAATTTCCTGTGTGATTTTAACGTTTTAATGTTTTTGATTACCTGTGAACTTTAATTGTGTTTTAAATGGTGATTCTAGTGTTTGTTTTATGTGATACTTTGTGCCTTGTGTGATGTAGACTGTGAAGCGCTTTGTGTTTCCCTGTGTATGAAAGGCGCTCTACGGACGCAATATGTGGATTTTTTTCAACATTGTGTGAAATCAATACAAACACTAATTCAAACACGCTTTTTTACCTTCCAAAATCTCCACAGGAACATCGTGCACAAACTGTTCCCACCATCGCCGTGACGACTGCTTGGAGGTCCACTCTTGGATGTCGAACTTACAGAGGCGTCCAGCCAGATACATGACAGCCACAGCGATGATCTGCGGCTCCCACTGCAGAGCCACCATGGTGCACAGGCTGTCGTTCACGAAGGTCCACGCCATCTGCACCAGCTTCTGCACCTTGTTCTTGTCCCCTGCAAGAAAGAGCAATGATTGGGGTTTAGGAGAATGTAATCTTTCCTTATCTTAAGTTAAATTACGTTATCATAAATATTAAGATTAAGGGTATAAGATTTTTTATTCGTCCCACAGTGGGGAAATCTCAGTGTTGCACCACAAGTTACAGAACAGAACACAATATTAAAGCCGCAAGCGGCGTCAAACGGCCCTCGTCGCACCGCGCGCACCACCCCGCATCAAGCCGCTCCGCACCAAGCCGCCCCGCACCAAGCCGTCCCGAATTAAGCCACCCCGCACCGAGCCGCCCCGCACCAAGCCGCCATGCATCAAGCCGCCCCGCACCACGCCGCCCCGCACCAAGCGGATCTGCACCACGCCGCCCCAAGCCGCTTCACAACCCCCGCACTACGCCGCACCACACCGTACCACGCAGCACCGTGCAACGAAGGTGGGGCCGCCGTGTGATGATTTGTTGCTGTTGCCATAGAAGAACGTTAGTCAAATTGTAATGAATATGATGATTAGAGCTGTTTGGCACCCCATGTAAAACTTTGCCTCAATCTGTAGGGGGCGCTATTGGGCAGATTTCAAATATTTCACTTTCACCTGACCTAAACCCTGGAGTTGAACATTGGATTCAAGTTTTGTGCAAATCAGACTTTGTTTGTGCAAACGGGAGCAAAATTATTGTTGTGAAAAACGGTCAAAAAACACTCACATCTTGCCGCTCCGCTGCTCAAACAACGTTTCACTGATCAAAAATCCCTGAGGTCATTTTGATGGTACATGTGTTTAGACAATGTGGAGTGATATGGAGGCCAATCTGTGAAACGGCCGAGGAGGTGTCGCTTTCCAACCGACATGTATGAAAATGATTGCGGATAATTTTTCCATTTTGCAGTGAAATTTATGGGCCTCCTGTTTGTCAGAGGGCGGAGCCATGGTAACATTTCGGTCGTATCTTGACTTGAGGAACACGTGTACCAAATTTCATGGCTCTACGACAAACTTGACCTCTGAAACTCCCATTGGCTGTTGTAGGTGGCGCTGTTCTGGCATTTTAAATAAACACCCATAAAAATAAACACCCAAATATCAAATTTTTCACCAGGTCTGATGTTTGGGCAAACTTTTACAACTTTTCATGCATGTTCAGGGGGTGAAATTAAGGCTCAAAGTGCAGAATTTGACATCTCTCGAGCAAAAACAATAGGCCCTTTCCCCGTTTGGGGCTCGGGCCTAATTAAGTAAAACACAAAGCTACTTTAGCTATAAAATCAAATCTCAATCTTTTTGTGAAATGAAGAAGATGATGATGATCCAGGACATTTAAGGACATTTATTCAATCACCCCTCTCCAAGTGTCACTGGCGTTTCCCACATGGGCGTTAAAGTCCCCCCGGAGAATAACAGATTCCCCAGGCGGTGCACCGCCCAGTACCCCTCCCAAGGACTCCAAGAAAGCCGAGTACTCAGCACTGCTGTTGGGGCCATAGGCCGTGACAATAGTGAGAGACTTGTCCTCCCCCAGGTGGAGGGACGCGACCCTCTCATTCACCGGGAAGAACCCCAACACGTGACTGCTGAGATGGGGGGCGATGAGAATGGCCACCCCTGCTGCCTCTCCCCGCAAAGAAACACCAGAAAAGTGGAGCTTTTGGAGGGTTCCAGAGCTCAAGCTGTGTGTGGAGGTGTGGCCGACTATCTCTAGTCAGTAACGCTCAACCTTTGCCATGAGCTCGGGCTCCTTCCCCCCCAGTGAGGTGACGTTCCACGTCCCAAGAGCTAGGTGTTGTATGTGCGGACTGGGTCGACGAGGTCTCCGCCTTCGACTGCTGCCCAGTCCTCTCTGCACCTGCCTGCCACGGATCCCTCTGTGGGTGGTGGGTCCACCGGAGGGCCTGCCCACGTCGTCCATTCGGACTCCCCCCGGCCGGGTCCCGTGGGCTAAGGCCTGGTCACTAGACGTTCACTTTCGAGCCCCAACCCCAGGCCTGGCTCCATGCTGAGCGATGTCACGAGTATTATCTTTGTGCTATCCAGATAAAAGTACTGACTTCTGCATCTGTTGTAATGGCCAGCTCAGTTCCCATAATTGCACGAATCGCCATGAAAAGATCATAAAAAGATGTTGGATCAGTCTTTTGAGGAGAAACATTTTAGCTGGAATTAGTTCTGTTCTGTCTAATTATCACATTGATGTATCTGCCTGATCTGTCAGACATCCGGAAACAACAACTAATAAGAGAAATGTCACACCACCAAGCATGTGGTAATAAAGCAGTACCAGCTTCTTTACACTTGTTTTATAACTACCTTCTAGGTCTAAGGACTGGTTTATTACCTTTGAGCTGCTTGGCGTAGCGCAGGAGGAACTGGTACGGATGCTCTACTTGCAGATCAAACTTTATGGTCTGTAGTAATATTCGCTCTAAAACCATAACTTCCTCCTGTTCACAAAATGCACACACAAACCAACACAATTATAAATATGAAAACACAATTTTGAAGCAAATGAAATAATACAATTTTTCCCCATCATCAAACCTTTGGGTCGTCTCCAAACTGAGAAAACTGGATGTCATTGAGGAGGCTGCGCGCTGTCTTAATGATGTCTTTGCACTTTTTGGGCGTTTCTTCCACTTTTCCGGCTAAGAAAAGGCAGCAGGCTCCGGTCACCTGCACAAAACGACCTTTTCATTAAGCACAGTCTCACTGTGAGTGGTTTGACGTGATATGCGTGTGCCTGAATCATACGTACATATCTGGGGAACTGTTTGAACGAGTGAAACATGTAAAATCTGTGGAAATATACAATTCCGGTGGCCAGCGTTTCATAATGTCTGAAGTAAAAGAAGTCGAGGATAATGTACACTTAAAAAGATTCAACAAAATGAAAATTATGAATTCGGCAAGTGCATTATTAGGATTTCAGAATTATGGAAGGATTACTAATGGAATAATATTAAGCGCGTGTCATAGATTACAGAACTTTTAATTTGATGTCAAAATAGATTTTTTTTCTTACATAAAACGGAGCATGAAAGGAAAAGTTTGTTTTGTTCATGAATGTTGGGATGAAGTCCTTCGAGAGAACTGCTGTTGTGATTTAGGCTATACAAAAATATATGGAATTGAGTTCCTATGTGTTGGCCTTTTGCTATCCAACCTACAATTCAGAATTAAAACTAGTTAATTCGATTCTTATGTTTAAGGCAGTAGTTATCAATTTACCCGCCAGGAATTCTGCAAATTATTGTCTATGTATAAAGCATGAAGAGAAATATCATAACAGTCGAAAGCTGATAAAAATAACATTTAAAGAGCATTTCTACAAAGTGATTTATCTTTACTTTGTTGTGGATGTACTGATTATTAGTTTTACCTATGTAATTACATGATAATATGAATAGTTCTTTTGCAAAAAAACAAAACAAAACAGATAAGTACCATTAGAAAAATATTTGAAAGGCTTAAAATAGTTTTTTGAAAAGCTAGATCTAGTTTAGTGCCACAAAAATAAAGTTTCACACCTTCTTGGGCAAATCCTTCCAAATGTACTGGCAATAAAATTTTTGCAAATGAGTTATTCATAGGTTGTAAACATAGGTTGCCCACAGAGCAATGTGGTCATATAGTTTTTGTTTAAATATAATTCCCTTATGCACACAGTCAACAATGCAAGGAAATGAGTCTATTAGAAAATCTTCCATCATCAGTCAAGGATACAACCCCAGTCTTGTGCCCACATCAAATATAAACCTGGCTCCCTCTCTGCGGTATCTGGCCTCTGTGGCTGGGTCCAAACCTTCGGACAGGGACGGGGTGTGCGCCAGGTCCTTCTTGTCCCAATACCAGCATGGTTTTATGTCCAAAATAGATGGATCTTTCCTGTCCCAAAACATGGAGCTCCTGCCGCTATCCAAGATGCTACGTCAAGAGGCAAAAAGACAGTCCAGTCTGCAAGAAAAATGTTTTAGCTTTACTATTTATATCCAGTTTATCCTTTCCATTTGACGCTAACGTTACTATCAGCAGAATTGTAAGGGCATATAGCGAAATAGCAGCACACAGCATCAATGAATACAAAAATACAGCGATTGCATTGAAGATGAAATTAGCGAAAAATATGACATAATTCTTTTGCAGTTATTTCCGTGTTACACAAAGAGAAGAGATTTTGTTGTTTTATATTTGCACTATAATAAAAAAAATCCAAACAAAGGCTTCATCCTCGAACCGTAACTGTATCTCTTTGATTGACAGCAGCATGAGCCAACCGCTGCACGCATATCGACTCAAATAAGGAAGTACCGTGTTCATCAGCCAATCGGGATGGAGAAAAGGCTGGGTGTTTTCCTTATTTGGTTGGTTTGGTCTTTGCCAATCAAAATGCGGATGTTAATGTGGGCGTAGTCCAAGGTAGGACCAATCACAGAGAAGAGCGCTGTGATCCAGGCATTTGGCTCGGGGCGGAGTTAAAGTTATGTTTTTATCATTTTGATGCAGCTAATGTATGTTGCGTTTTGCGATACCAATATTGAAACAGAGGAACACCGTTTTTCACATGTGTGCATTCAAAAATATTTTGTGATAGTTTCTGTGCTTGGTCTCTTAGCAATACTTTACGTGTTATGGACTTCAATTATCACGACATAAAATGTGGTGTCTTGTTGGAAGACAAGACATGTCTTCCATTTTTGTATGTTGTGTGCTGTCCATACATTACGATGTTGTTGAGGAATGTGCTTATTTTTTTATTTTGCACACTTTGAATGAAAAAAACACAATAAAATAATTTTGAGACAACGCAAAGCATCACGGGCAATGAATGCATGGATGAATAAATAATATGCACTGTTTTCAGGATGTTTTTTGCTTTAAAAATAATGAGTATTTGCACAATAAACTAAAATGCAAAGACTTAAAAGTCAGAATAGCTGGACAATGCAAGATTAGCACTAGAGGAACAACTATTTACTTTATCAGGAGACACAAAATATAGAATATTGCAAAGCATAAACACAAACACAAACACGCACACACATGAAGATAATTGCTTGAAAAAAACTGCTGACTGCTGACATTTGGTGTTAATATAAGAATACGGGACTTTTGTGTGATATATAGACTATATGGTAAAATAAGACGTGTAAAAAAAGAAAAAAAAACTCACCATAGACGTTTCTTTAAAAAAAAAAAAAACATATTCACCACGCCCACTCGGACCAAACGCCTAGATCTTTGCTTGGAACCTCTCGCTCAAGTTGGGTTTCCGTGCAGGGACAGAGGAACTGCTGCTGTCACTTCGAAAGGTATGACTGAAGCTGGGAAACTGTTCACTTTCTTTGCAGCATTTGGGCTGTCTTCCGGGTCTTTTCTTGCCCGCGTTCGCATGTATTTTGGGCCCACATTTCTGGGCGCTGCTGGGCATTTCGAGACAGAAGAAGCTCTCAGATTAGCTGCTTGTCAAACTCGGGCTGATCCTTGACAGCTTAGCACCGTTAGCATGCTTTTCGACCCCGGACTGTATGAATGAGCCCTGTGCAAGGCTCAGACCCAATGAGATCACTCCTCAGTTGGGCGTGATGCCTCCAAAAAGCAGCTACCAGAGGCCCTGCTCCGGCCACTGTATTGATAAAAAACAGGAATATGAGAGAATAGACTAGACCCCAAAACCATCTAGCTGTACATGTGAGAAATCCTTTTCAGATATTTGTGAAATTATGCTGAGACTGATTCAACTTGTTGGTTGGTCTTTAGCCCCGTTTCCACCAGCCCTACTTGGCCCTGCACTGATCTCCTCTACCCTGATTTGGAGCATTTCTACCGGCCCTGTTTAACCGGTACCAGGTACTGCTTTTAGTCCCTGTGACTCTGCTTCTAACAAGGCCGAGCTGGTACTAAATTGTTCTGATAGTGATTGGCCAGAGTGCAGCTTACCTAGGATTTTCCATAGTTAGTAGTTTGTTGTGGGTAATTAACTTGGATACGGTACAAGATACGAAAGTGTAATTGAAACTTAACCGAGCCTGAGTAGAGCTGGGCTGGTGAAAACGAGGCTTTTGACCTGCATTGATTCACTCCAGGGTTGGTATTGTTTCAGTGTTGTCAATTAGATTTTGATCCTATTGAGGAAATTCTATACTTTGATTTCGATAGCACAGTGATTATTTTATTGGATAGAGTATCTAACTTTTTAGTTTTATCAATGCATCTTGTTTGCCCCAACTGAAAGCGTCTTGTAACATTTTGTAAACAAGTCAAACCACAATATGCTGTCGTTACCTAGAAAACATTGTATCCTTAACATACTGAAAGCTGATTGGCTGAGTGAGGGCTGGTTCTCCCCTTTTTAGAGCGTAATGAAGGAGGCCGAAATAAATCAATGTGAAGACTAGAGATAAAATAAAACCATAAGTGAACATAAGAACATGCTACATTTTTTTGTGGTTTCAAAGTTAGGTACTCAAGCTGAAGCTTCAACATCGGCTCAAAATGCGTTACCTTGAGTTATTAGACCAGATGGTACTTTGGTTCCAGTTAGTACATAGTTTATCTTTTTTGTTTTGTTTGTTTCTTCTCTCAGATTTCCAGTTATTTCAACACTTCTGAAGCAGTTGATTGTATTTCTTGTAGTACCCATGGTTGCACCAGAGTGTGTGGTGAAAGGCATTTGATATCTGGGAAGTCTCAGTCTGTAGCTATTGTCCCCATTGATAATACATGCACTCCAGAACACGTTTGGAAGAAATGTTATGGTCTCTGAAGGAGGTCTGTCTGCAGTTATGATCATAAACCCCACTCCCATCTCTGTGTGGAGGAGGAGACAAATGCCCACAATTTTAAAGTGTTTTGTGACTCTGGTCTGTAAAAGGTGCTATATAAATAGTAAATACATATTACTTACTTACTTAAACACTGTTTTATACATGAAAAAAACTATATTGCAATTATGTTATGTATTCTTCTTGTTAACTCTTAAAACAAAAATGTATTTTTTCGATTAATATAAAGTACAATACATGAGTTTGTTGACAGAATATTTCTAAAAACAAAATTGTGCTGTATAGTACGACAGTATTTGTTGGATTATAATTTACTTTCTTATAAGTCAATTATTAATTTAGGATAGCAGCAGTAGTAGCAGCAGCATTAACAGCAGAAGTAATAGTACAGTAGTAGTAGCAGGCTGGTCTGAGTGCTTCTGAACACCTGTTGTATGTGGTTGTCTGTAAATGTTTTAGAAAATTCATTCGTTTTAAAGTAATACAATAGCTTCACCCCTGAAGAAATTTTATGAATGAATCTTATATGCCAGTGGTTCTCAAACTTTTTACACCAAGTACCACCTCAGAAAATACTTGCCTCTCAAACTACCACCACAAATGACCAATACTATACAGTAGCATAGTAAGCGTAAGTATTCATCAAAAACAAGGCAGAGGTTTAATTCCTAAAGAAGTATATTTAATATTGTCAACCATTGTAACATTTTACAGTAAGACTGCGGTTTAATATAGGAAAAAAAACAACAAAAAACTGTACTTAAATAATGATTCAATTCAAATGTTCAATTCATTATGAACTGCAAAGCCTTGACTCACAATTGTGAATTATAATCTCGAGTGGGATGGCCTTCTTTGTCCACCAGAAGGTTTGGACACTAGTGCACTTTTGTTTATTAGGCTATGCTTGGTCTGCTGCCCTCTTACATCTGCCAATTACTCACACAAAGAGATGTTGGTTCATATGGTTTGCGATCAAATGATCTTTTGTTTCTCTCTGTTCCTTTTGCACAGAACTGGGAAAAAAAGCTTAATGCTGCTCCTTCTACATGGAAAGTGTTGCAAAAAGACTGGAAATTATCTGAACTTATTTCATTGAGTGAGTTTAGATCCAGATTGAGAGCACTTGAGACATCCTCATTGAAATGTAACTGTTTATAATCCAAAATTTTATGAAATTGTATGTGACTGTTTTCATAATCTGCAATTGTATGTAACTGTTTAAAAATATGTTATTGTATTCAACTTTTGTCCAGGACTCCCCTTAAAAGATTACTTAATCTCAATGGGACTTTCCTGGTTAAATATAGGTCAAATTAAAAATAAATAAATACATATATATTTCAGTGATTCTTTGGCGCACCACACTTTGAGCATCGCTGTTCTATGCAATCATAATAACATAAGAATAAAATAAACTTCCTTGCCTAAGAAGATAGTTTATTTGTAAAGCACAGTTCATAATCACGGTACATTACAAGAAGTGACGATACAATCCTTCAGTTGTATGCACAGCTAAACAGAATGTGTTTGACCGCAATTTGAACATTTTCAAGAAGACTGTCCCAGATTTTCATGCACACCATTCCAGTTTTCAGTTCACACATTCTGTTCCAATCTATGGTGTAATCGAAGGGTTCATGTTTCAACACAATGGGCATATATGAACTGTAGCTGGAAGTTTTTGATTGTAGAAAGTTAGCAAAAAGTCTGTCATGCAGTGACTTATTATTAAGACCTCTAAACTATGAGCGCCAGCTGCTTATATTAATTTGTGTTGGGGGCCTGGGGGTAACTTGTTACAAAAATGTAAACAGGACTTTATATATAGGCTCTAAATCCCATGCAAACAGACCTTTTCTAACAAAGGTTGCATTTCTATTGTGGCATATGGACATGCCAAAAGGATACACAGTTTCAGAATCATATAATTGTTTATCCATTATTCATCTTTGTTTTTTGTCTAAAAGCTTCTGTCACACTGTCTGTGGTGCCATCTGATGGTTACAACTGTAGCTGCTTTTCCATGTGCTGCGCCTTGATAGAACATAGCAAGCATCAGTAAATGGATGGTTTAATGATTAATGACATATTGTTAATCAAAAACGACATACTCGAGCTTGACTGTGTTTTATTCAGGCCATGGGGGCACTTACACTTAAGCAGAGCCACTTTAAAGTCTATCTCTGAGCCACAGGAAGACAGTGCAGTGACATGAGAACTGAACTAATGTCATGGTACTTCAGGGTTCTGGTCTGGACTCAAGGACTCGAGCTGCAGCGTTTTGAATATACTGCTGCTGTTATACATCTTGTTTGGAGAGCCATTGAGTAGGCCATTTCAGTAGTCTAACCCACAGTAGACAAATACTGGAGAGTAATCTCCAAGTCTCCTTTAGACACTACGTTTTTGATTCTGGCAATGTCTGGTTTTAAAAGCTGCGGATGTTACTGATGTGGCTGTTAAATTTAAGTCTTGAGTCCATTATTATCACTAGACTTTTTACTTTATTCGAGAGTAAATTGTGTGTAACTGGTTTAGTCTAAGGTAGGACAAGGCAATCTGCAGGAAGAAAAGATAATACTTGTCTGCCGGTAGGAGCAAACACTAGATTCAATTGTGACAAACTTGATGAAAGGTGAATGAGCAGAGGTAAAGATGTATACGGTCTGTCCGTGCTCAGTCCAGAATGGTGAGTTTAGGCGATGGAGGGCTTCCTCTCAGGGTCCTTCTACTTTAATGCATTTTTTTGACATGTATTTCAATCAAAGTCACAGAAAGACCAATGTTTATTGAAAATTGATAATACAAATGATCACATGACCAGTCTACTAAGTGAGGGGGAAATATATTTTCTGACTGTTCAAACAGCCATTAATTGTTGAAGCCCTATCCCCTCTCGACTCTCATCTGACTGATAGGTTTAGTTTGTGATATATGTGCTGACCAGTGTTTTTCTTTCAGTTGTCAAACCAGTAAAATGGGGAAGAAGAGTCGGGTAAAGACTCAGAAATCGGGCTCCGGAGCCACAGCTGTGGTTGCCCCCAAAGAAATGATGAACCTGATTTCTGAGCTGCTCCAAAGTAAGTTCTAATAGACACACTTTGTAGGTTTCTTCCAGGTGATCTGATTTTCCTAAAAATATGTACAATCGGTAAAATCCTCTGGCTCTGGGAGTCCTCACCTTTACATCTGGACATGGGTCCCTCCGGCTTGAAGAAATGGCCTTGGAACAATACAAAATGATTTCTATGTACACTTTATAATTGCATTTGTTTTTATTGTATCTATTGATAATTTATTATGTATCAGTATTTCTATATTCTAAGTCATGGTTGAGATCCCATTCATGCATCCATTTTCTTCCCCTTAATCCATTTCTGGGTCGGGGGTGGTAGTCAAAGCTGCACCCAGTACACTTAGCACCAGCCCCTCACTGATCATTCTGCAGGTGGTGAGTCCACAGGAGCTGAGATCTTTCAGCGGGGGCTTCAGGCAGAGTGGGGTTAAGTGTCTTGAGGCCCCTTACTCTGTAATTGCGGCTCCCACTCAGAGTCTGGGCTGAAATGGAATGGGATGTGATACGTAATTTCTAAAGCTAATTTTACCAAGAAAACAACCATGAAATTTCCCCATTGAGGAATGAATATGGGGTTATCTTGTCTTATGCCATCCATTTGCTCAAAAACGTTAAACCTTGTATGCAATAAATAATAAGGAAATGCAGCTTTACTCTTTTTGTTCATATAAGTCGATTAAATTATATCTATATTCAATAAGATAAGATAAGATCAACCTTTATTAGTCTCACAGTGGATAAATTTCAGTGTCATCGTTGCACATTACAGCAGAGAAAGGAAATAAGAGCACTCAGATTGCACACATCAAAGTCTATTATTTAAGATAATAGACAATAAATTTAAGATAAAATAAAATGAGATCAACTCTGGGCTATAATTGCACTTGGTTCGGAGTATTTACAGATGTCTATATTATACATTAGCAGCGGAGAATATGAGAATATGAGCAGAATAAACATCAGAAATAATATCAACAGGTAAAGTGACTTGAATGGGAGAATTATCAGATGGATGTGTAATAATACAGTAAGATATCAACAGGTAAAGTGACGGTGGAAGGCAGAATTATCAGATATGAAATAATACAGTAGTACTGATAACAGGTAAAGTGACTAGTGACAAAGTTACTAGTAAATTATCAGTGACACTTGTTAGTAAGTAAGCTTTATTTATATACCGCCTTTCACAGACCAGAGTCACAAAGCGGTTTACAATTGTTATTTTTTGGGCACTTGTCTCTCACTCCACATAGAGATGGGAGCAGGGTCGCCAAACAGGAGGCGCATGCCAGACCTATTGTACATATTTTTAGTGGTAGGGGAAACTGGAGTACCCGGAGGAAACCTACGGGTACTCCGGGTACTGGTTACACACACCCCCTTGTGCAGACTCAGCAGTTCCTGTTACACATTCTCGTTGTACAGTCTGACAGCAGCAGGAAGGAAAGACCTGCGAAACCTCTCCTTCACACAGCGAGGGTGAATTAGTCAATAATGGTAATTATATGGTCAAAATACCTTTTTATGATCATAAACTAACTTTATATAACTTTCCACACATGCTTGATTCTTGGTTTTACCTATAGTATTTACTTCCTCTACTGTTATTTTTGAAGAATGAGAAGATGGGGTCATTTGAAATGTAGGGGAAACATAGGTGGTAAACTGCGTGTGCAAAAAAAACTTGTACGATTTGAATTATAAATCTCAGATTAGTTTGCTCCCATGGGCATATATTTTGTACACACAAAAACACGTGATACATATACCCCTTTTATGCGTACCTGCCTCACTCAGAATCAAACTTGCAGCGGGGCTTAGCTGAATTGAGTTTGAGAGTTCTAAGTCTAAATATGAAATGTATATTTTTTTTCCCCAGAGTGCAGCAGTGCAACGCCCTCTGCTGGTAAAGAGTGGGAAGAGTACACACAGATCAGAGCTCTGGTGGAGAAAATACGCAAGAAGCAAAAAGGTCATTTCAGACATATATGATTGTATGTTTCATAGGTACATTCAAATCTAAGTCTGTATCCTGTGAATCCGTAGGCATTTCCATCATATTTGACGGCAGCAGAGAGGAGCACTTCTCAGACTTACTGGCCTGGGCTCAGGACTGCGGAGCCTCCACTGATGGGTTCACTGTGGCGGACTTTGGGACGGAGGGATTCGGTTTGCAAGCAACCAAGGACATCAAGGTACAAGAAATGCCCTGAAAATGTTTCATTTCAATCAAATGCTTATAAAGATTCTATATCCCCCTCACTCTCACCTATTTGACAAGATGATTTGGAACAAAAGCCACAGTACAACTGCAATGCAGTAGCACAGTAACACACGGTAACATATGATATCGTATGATGACAACACACACACACGCACACACAACCCACTGACCTCCAGTGGTCAAGGGTGTGGTGGGGACGTGATATTGTGCGTCACATTAAGTCTTCTTGCTGCGTCCGCTGTGACGTGCATTTTCACACACGTCTCTCCCTGCAGTTGCATATTTTCGGATTCTCCCTGCTTGTGTTACGCCTTTCCGTGGTCAAGGGGCACAGGGGAGATTTGTCGCTCCAGGGCCAAAGGGAAGCGTTTCGTACAAGGAGAGCTCCCTTCTGTTCTGACCCTCGCTGTCACGGTGTGGTGCTGTTCCAATAACACTTCAATCCTTCAAAACTTTGCAAATGTGTGAATTAAAGGGGCATTTTGCAGATAATGATTTCTTGTGTTTGAGTTACGTTGAATTGGCATCCTTCTTCTGGTAATGAGTGACATCATACTTCTGTGACTACTTTTGAAACTTAGGCCCTTTTTATACTGAGACGCTGCGCGGACGTTTCCAGGCTATTAACAGAAACGACCAGGCTCCTAATGCAAATTTCTCAGCGTTCACTTGAGGTTGAAAAATGCTGTAGTTCTAGCGCCCGGCCAGTAGTGGGCAGAGAAACTTTACAACACAACACACGACCCCCAGCCCAGTGCCCAGCCCCCCTCTCGGCAGTGTACTCACTTCCTGTACCAGACCCTCAGAATGCACCAACATCATTCTGCATTTTAACAGCAGCTGTGAAAATGGAAACTGAACCTAGAACTTCGCGTGGTCTCGTTTGGACGAACGAAGGAGTAGAATTATCCTCTGTGCCGCGCTGGAAGCCCACGAAGCTATCTTGTTTACCGGCCGCCATTGTTCTTTATGTTTGTTCTCCGCTACTGCGCATGTCCAAATTTACGTGCGGGGAGCAGCGGGAGGTGGGGGTCAGAGCAGAGGGGGATTTCACACCTTTTCCCTCTCGCGGGTGTGAAAGAGCTCCCGCTGTGCAGCGTTTCTGAGCTGTCCCACTCTGCAGGCTGGATCTGAACACTTACGTTTTCACCCCCCTGAAACACAGTCTTCGTATGAACGGTTGGTAGGAACCGACATCCAACTATACTGTTTTACTGCCATATTGTCTAAACTCAGCCTTAATCAGATGGAAAAGCTTGAACTTGAGTGTTGCTTTCACTGTGTGTGCTCAGGCAGAGGAGCTGTTTCTGTGGATTCCCAGGAAGATGCTGATGACTGTGGAATCAGCTCAGAGCTCCATCCTGGGTAAGGATTTCAACATGTAAAATAGTTGCTATTACTGCTATTTCAACAGGTAAATAATGTTTTAGACTGTACACAGGGGCTGAACGATTTAATCCCAATCAATCAAAATAAATTCAATTATCTAGATGTAAAGACTGTCCTTTTTTGGATTATAATATTGCCTTTGCAAATGGATTAATCGTTATTGCATATTTTAAATAAATCCGGCTATACCTGGGTTTAGAGCTCTGGAACGGGGTTAGAAATACAAGGATAATCAGCAATACTACTAATCTAATTTGGGTTGCATTTTTACTGTTTTATCTACTAATGGAAAAGGCAAGTCCAATGTTATCTTGTCTACCTGCTTGTCTTTTAAAGCAACTATTTATTACAACTCCAAAATAAAAAAATATTTCTCCTTGTTACATAGACTTTACAACAGAAGTCATATGGTTATATGAATAAATAAAGAGTTTCCTCCGCAGAGGGGCTGGGCGCCCCTCTGGGTGAGAAGCTCAGTCACTGGGGAGTAGCTCGGAGTAGAGCCCCTGCTTCTCCACATCAAGAGGAGCCAGTTGAGGTGGCCTCCTGGACACCTCCCCAAGGAGGTGTTCCTTGCATGTCCTACTGGAAGGAGACCAGGCGAAGCCCCGGGACATGTCCCTCAGCTGGCCTGGTAATGCCTCTGGATTCCCCCGGCTGCGAGGAAGTATGCGTGGATAGAGAAGTCTTGGCATCTTCACTCATAGCATGAAGAAATAACGTCATTTGTTGAACAGAAAATAATGCAGTCATTTTATCATGCTGAGAGTGTAATAAGATATGGTATGTGTGTGTGGTTTGGGAATTTAACTGTTAAAACAAAAGCAGAACTTTACATATTGGTGCACATTGCACTTAAGGTTATGGGAGTTGGGGAGAATCCATTTTTGCAGCAGTTATTTGAGGAGACTTATTAGACAAGTAAAGAAAATCAACTCTGACCCTCTCATGTTCTCTCTCTCAATATGAGCTCCTCCCATGGGCCACCACTACCAACTAAAAATTGGAAAAGATATCTAAACCGGTATAAGAACAATCTGTCTATGTGTATTCTCAAGGTAGCAGCCTGTGAGTACAAGACAAATCTCCTACGGGACATAATGAATTAATTTTGAATCTCGAATCTTAAAACTACAACACAACAACAGATAATTTGGAAGAAAATTGATGCTGCCCTATTGTACATGCCATTGATTCAATGCCTCACGTAATTTAAACAATACATTTCCCTCATACTAATAAAACATTGTTGCGTATGCTCAGGTCATCTGTATGGTCAGGACCGGATAATGCAGGCCATGGGAAACGTGACGCTGGCTCTCCACCTCCTGTGCGAGCGCTGTACCCCCACCTCTCATTGGCTCCCCTACATCCGCTCTCTGCCCTCGGACTACGACACGCCGTTGTACTTCCAGCAGGACGAGGTGCAGCTGCTCCAGGGAACACAGGCCATCGCAGATGTCCTGAGCCAGTACAAAAACACGGCTCGGCAATACGCCTACTTCTACAAACTCATGCAGGTAATACTCCTAGTATTGTATGCATCATTTGGTGGCTTCTGTGGACTTAACAATAGCAGGGTTCCTGCAGGTTCTTAAAGGAGATGTAATGTGGAAATCTACTTTATTGCACTATTGACCATGTTCAATAGCGCAACATTGTTTCCTCATCAAAACGAAATGTAGCTGCAGTATAGTGTTTGTGGTTTTACACTGGTGCAGACCGGAGCGAAGAGGATTCATGGTCCGAATCCACTGGGGGAAGGCTAACTTTTTGAAAAATGCTAACAAAGCATTTAGCCTTTTACGTTGAACCAGAGCAGGGAAAATGGTCCCAACCAAGCGGCTGCAACTCTGCTGCTGTGACCCGTCGCGCTCCACCTAAAGGCTCCACCATCTTTGCTGCTGTTACCCATCCTGCTCCACCTAGAGGCTGGACCATCTTGCTGCTGTGACCTGTCCTGCTCCGCCTAGGGGGTGCACCACCTCTGCTGCTGTGACCTGAAGTGCTGTTTCTTATTATTACTATTACTATTGTCGAAAAATGCAAACAAAGCATTTCGCGTTTTACTTTGAACCAGAGCAGAGAAAATGGTCCGAACCAAGCAGCTCCACGTCTGCTGCTGTGACCTGTTCTGCTCCACCCAAAGATTGGACCATCTCTGCTGATGTGACCTATCCTGCTCCACCCAAAGACTGGACCATCTCTGCTGATGTGACCTATCCTGCTCCACCCAGAGGCTAGACCATCTCTGCTGATGTGACCTGTCCTGCTCCACCCAGAGGCTAGACCATCTCTGCTGCCGTGACCTGTCCTGCTGCACCTAGGGGCTGCACCACCTCTGCTGCTGTGACCTGAAGTGCTGCTTCGTATTATTACTATTACTATTGTTCGCTTTTTAGAATGATCAATTTAATTGTTTTGTTTGCGTGGATGTGTTGGAGCGATGTAGTTCAGTTGGTAGAGCATTGAGCCCACCTCGGTATCTACTCCAACTGCTCCCACTGCTGTTGTTGTCATTGGGCAAGACACTTAACCCCACATTGCCTGAAGCTCCTGCTGAAACACCAAGGCTGTGACACCACTGACATAGCAGCCATCCTGTGGACTCACCACCTGCCGGAGGAGCAGAAATGGACTGTGAGCATTGGGTTGCAGCTCAACCCGACCCAGAAATGGACTAATTAAGTGGTAGAAAATGAATGAATGAATGAATGAATGTTTGCGTGGATGGATGTGTTTTTGCTGCTACTGGACACCCACATTTCTCCAATGGGGATCAATAAAGTATCCATTTATCTGTAATACTATGTAATTGTACCACTATGCCATCACACTCGGAGCAGTGCTCAGCCTCGATTTAAAACAAAAGTATTGCCCATAAGGTTTTTTTATTTGTATTTTATCAAGTAAAATTATGTGCTTTACTATCACATGTCTCTGAAATAAGGGCTAAGTTTTCAGACATACATTTTTCAAACTCCCTCTACCGCTGTTAGCATAGGGAGTCGGATAGCATTATTTACCCCTCATACATGTTTCAGATTTTTAACTGTTCATACAAGCCGTCCTATGAATCCCAGACTGATTGACAATTATTAGATATTGGCCACAACTACAAAAAAGGTACGAATAAGTTCCTGGTCAAAAATCTATATTCTATCTATATTTTCCAAATTATTTTCAAAAAAATTTAGGAAAAAAGGTTTAAAGTTTTATTTTCTACAAGACAAGAAACTGTAAAATAAACTAACATGAAATAATTATTACACAAAACAGAAAATTGTAATAATTGTTTGGGTTTTTCTGACTGTGGTAAATATTCTACAATATGTCAAGTCTTATCTTAGTGTTTATTACAGAATCATTATACCAGAAGTTCACTCCTGGCCCCTCTGGGAACTCTACTGCTCGTTAAAATAAAGCTGACACAACATTTGAACTGAAATATTTTCAACAGCTGCTGCAGATAGTTTCTGTGTACGGCCAGCAGAGGGAGTCAACATAACACTAACTGTATGAACAAAGTTAGAATTGGTCTCCATACTGCGTTTTGTAGTAATTTTATATTTGACCTGGTTTTTTAGATGATTGCAGGGGTTTAGTGGTTTTTATTGGTAGTATTGGTAGGTTTCTGGACACAAGACCTGCACCTTTTGTAATGTAAAGGCAAACAGAAGCTGTTCCACTCATGCACACTTGGTGGCAGTGTTGTGCTCCGTATGATTAAAGTCCATATTCTTAATGTGTATTTTGAGCTGGAGTCAGCTTCAGGAGGGAGGTGATATTTTTAATACTCTTTTGGTCGAGATCTACAGCTTTAATGTTCTCTGTGACAAGCGCACAACTGCCACTATTATAGATCCTCATGAATAAACTGTATAATGTTTTGCATGAAGATTGTATCCACATTCAGTACTTCAGTTTGCTTTGTTCATTCATGAAAGCCAAAACCTTTTTAGTTAGAATGTTGGTGAAGAAATTACTCTCTTCCTGAATCAATAATGGGTTGCGTTCATGTTATAGGATTCTATTTCAGTTTGAGAAGAGGTTTAGTGTTTATTGCTGAATCATTATACAAAAAGTTCACTCAAGGCCCAACTCTGTGGGAAATAATCAATTATTTGGACGTTTTACTTTTCAGAATGTATTGAGTTTTCCCAGATCATTAGTTGATAGGAATTTGATTCACAAACCTGCCATAAAATTACTGTCTGGAATTCCTTTCTATAGGCCAGCATCACGCATATAATTTGAATATTGAATGCATGAATGCCTTTATTTGTCCCATGTGGGGACTACTAACCACCACCACCATCATGATGGTGGTTAGACCATTGATGTTTTCTGACCAAGATGGTGTGGAACTTCTTGGACAGTTTTTGTTTCATTTAGATTGTGCCATGGATAAGAGAAATTGGCACTAAGCCAACTCAAAACTGACTTTTGACTGTTGTAATTGTTACCAGGACAGATTTCTCAGCTGCCTGCCACAACAATGTTAAACTATAGGCTCTTTGAAATGTTGTGATGCCACGTGAACGCAATCTGCTTTGCTTTGACCAGTATGTAGTTTCGATATTCTTTCATTAGCTTTCATTATTCTTGATTAACCTACAGCCAATGGGCTTATCAATTTACCATCTCCAAAAAGTAAAACTCAATCATTTTTTATCTTAATTAGGAATCACCCTTTTTGCCTCTCCCTCCTCTCGGTGTTCGCCAAAAGACAGCATCTCGCCCGGGCACTGTCCCCCTTCGCTCACCTCCCTCCTGCTCAGATGACCGGACTGGAAAATTAGCTTGTCACATTGGCTTTGAATTGAATTGACCTGAATGTACCTTCCTCAAAACAGAAAAAAGGCCAGTCTCTCTGTCTCTGTCTCTCCCTCCTCCCTCCGTGGTGCGTCCGTTTGCCTGTGTTCCTGCTTGATGTATACTGATGTATACGGACAGATGCAGACAGGACAATTACTGACATGCGACAAAACATGGAGATGGAAGCAGCCATGTAAAGCTATTTCGTCAAATCACCGGACAGCGAGAAGGCGGGGCGTCTGTGGACTTGTATTTGAAAATAAACTGTCAATCCACTTTGGGAGATTTGTAGATATCTGCATGAATAAAACTATTTCACCCAAAAAATAAAATACACAAGCAATGAACCGGTGTTCCTTAAAAGTCCATTTTGCTTCATATGTCCCCTGTAAATCTTAATTTAATGGTTTATCTTGGTATAGTACATTTTATATACTGTATAACTCGATGTGCTTAACAGGTTAGCCCATGCACTACATCATAATCACAGTCTTTAGATGGGGTACCTGATAACTTGGTAACTTTTGTTTGTCCCAACAGAAAGTCTTGTAAAAGTATAATGTGAACAAACAACGTCTATCTTCATCTTATTATAAAACATATACAGTATGTAAGTGCAGCCCTTTGTGAGTCACTATTTGATGCTTTTGGATGAGAGCTGATTGTGGCTGGTCCACTTTTTTTTTTCCACTCCTTTCTCTGAAAAAGCTTTTCTAAAGATGTGACGAATCCCAATAATACATGCACATGAAAACTAGGGAAACCAAAATGTTTTGAGTGTGAGTAACTAGTTGGATTAAATGTTTTCCATAGTTAAATTGGATACCCTACATTTAAATGTTTTGAGATGCATACAGTTTGTATGTGAGTTAAACGTTGCTTAGAAATGTGTAACGTTCAGTATATATTCAGATTCACTTAGTTCAACAGCCCTCGTCTGCCTCGCTCAGCCCGTGTCTGGCTTTGGCCCCGGTCTCACCGGGGCCCCTCACTTTGGCACTGATGGACGACCTCTGTCTGGAGATGCTAATACAGCGGAGCTCCGAGCCGCTCTGGACATGCTTCATTCACATCTGAGCTCATGTGTCCATCTGCTGACATGTCTGACCGATTTTCTCCTTTTACATCGTTCATTATGTGAACAAGAAAGACTCGAGGGGCTGGCGTTAAACTAATCTATCTCACGTGTTTTCAATTACCTTCAAACGCAGGCGTGTTAGTTTGAACCTTCCACAGATCTGACTCCTACATTTACCTGGTGCATCACCTTCTGTATAGCAGCAAAGTTATAGTACACGTTATGATGTGGTCGGAAGAGCAGCCAGCTTGTCAGTAATAAGAATATTCCACTAAATAAAGCTCTGAATATATGGATTTGAAGATTTCTCGATTGATAATACTCTTCTTATATTGTGTGATTCATTTAATTGAATAATGTTTTCACTTAGGAATCTAAGTATTTGTACATATTTAGGGTGGCTCAGTGGGTAGTACTGAGGCCTCATAGCAAGAAGATCCCAGTTTTGATCCATATGCCTGCACAGCCTTTTGTTTTTTGCGGGTTTCTCCCAAGCCCCGGTGATCCAAAATGGCGCCCTATTCAAATGAATGGCTTGTGCTCAGTAGCGCATGGGACTTCACGGGGACCGGGAGATTAGCAGAACTCGCCTATATTTGGGCATTGTCTGGTCCTCCCGGTTCTGCGCAGTGGACGAGCTCCCATGACGCGTGTGTGGCTTTCATGCACGTGCACAGAGGGGCTTGGCCGCACTTTGACTAATCAGCGCTGCTGATCAGAGCAGCGGTAGAGCAGAGTCAGAGCGGGAAGGAAAGGAGCAGAGTTTGTGGCAGTGAAGTGTGGATCTAAAGAAAACCGAAGGATTTAAGAAGAAAAAAAGTTCAGGATGACAAGGGACACTAAAATCCCCACAAAATCCGACCTTTGTGAAAGCTGTAGGTTCTCTGTCAGCTCAGGTCGAGTTGTTTTAGTTTGAGTTCTATGGGACTTTTTTCTGGGTAACCCTCGTGAATTTAGTCTGCAGTAACACGGGCGCCCCCTGTGCCCATGGGTGGGACAGCTATAAGCTAGTAATACCTTATCCAGTTATCATTATTGATCCATGATTTCTTCCCCGTCACTGGGATATATCATCCCAGTGACCCTAGTCCTGAAGTCGAGCATCTGAATGTCTCACATCCATCTGAAATTTGAACATCATATTGTAAATTTGGTGATAAATCAACAACATTTGGTGCTGCTATAGTGATAGTAATTTAACATTATGTCAGTGCTTGCATGTGGTTTCACTAGTTATTCAATCTATTTGGTCCTGGGATGAAAAGATATCACAAAACATCTTCATTATATTACATATTGCATGTATTGCAAAAAAATCCCAGCCCTCATTAGTCTCTTAGTGTCCAGTGTGCAGTATGAAGATACCCTGCCTCTTTTGATCTTCTACTTTTCTCTTATTTTACTTTTCTCCCCTCACACTTCCCTTCGTTCTCTTCATTATGCATTCCACTGAACTCTCTCCTTCTCCTGTTTAAGCCCAGGACAGTTTGTAAATGGCTCTAGAAGGTGGCCGGTGAGTGGAGGAGGGGGGCAGGTGGCAGGAGCGTGGACTATATACGCACACTCAAACGCGCACACGCGCAACCGCATGCAGATCCCGGTTCAGGCTCAAATTGATGAGGTAGATTTATGACTGCTGCTGGCCACAACAAATTAAGTTGACAGTGATGTATTGGGGGGGCTAGTGTCACGATGCGGCTATGGGCCACACGCACGCACACACGAATGGCCCAAACCGATGGCCCCATACTCCCAGTCCCTCTTGTTACGTGTCGCTGTCAGCGCAGCCCTCTAGCATACCTGCATAATGAAATTCCTGAAACTGATTTGTGTTTTTTTATTTTTTGCCCTCTCTCTTCTTTGCTCTTGTCCACCTCGTCCCTCCATCCCCAGACTCATCCCGCCGCCAGCAAACTACCCCTGAAGGACAGCTTCACATTTGATGACTACAGGTCAGTGTGTGTGCGTGGAGAAGCGTACTGTGTGTGTGTGTGTGTGCGCGTTTGTGTGCACGCATGTGCCGAGATGCTTGAGTATCCATACGTCTGTGTGTGTGTGTATGTCCTTGTCCTGTTTCCAGATTGGTCTTTGCTCACACGCCTCTGAGAAAAAAAAGGGGGTAAAAGGGAAATGCTGATTCTTTCTGCAGCTGCAACCCACTTTTCCACAGTATGCCCAACTTACAGGTCAGGCCTGTGGAGAGGCAAGCCCGCCTGTGTGACTGTGCTATAAAAATAAAGCTTATACTTTCTCACTCGCCTGCTCAAGGGACATGTAAAAGAATGAGATAGTTTCTAAAGACATCACCAGAGAAGTTGCGTAAGACTTTTGTAAAAGCCTGCATGGGGACATATGTGCCAATAGAATTTAAAATGCACCTGAGTTGGCACATTTTTGTGAAGTTTACCATGATGCCGTAGCAGCATAAATGAGAGGACGCAATAACTCTTCTTGTTGGCGGAAGAGAAAAAATTCTTACAAAAATGGAGCACAACATTGATTACATTAAAATGTAGTATGGCACACATATGAACCTCAAATCTTGCTTAAAGTTGCCAATTGCATACCCACAGTATTAACAAAGGGTGTGCGCTTCGCATAATTGCTTCAGTTTCAGCAGGGGTGGCTAACCAGTCAGAGAAAGAGCCATTTTTTTACTGTGTTACTGCAAAGAGCCACATTATACAAATGGGCACACATGAACATCACCCCATCCCTTACACACACACACACACGCGCGCAGATTTATTGTAAATGTAAACCAACATGCTAATGACAGAAATGGACCGTTTCCATGGGCTCAACTCGACTCTCACTGGTTTGCGGGTGTTTCCACTGGCTCGCTTTAGCCGGGCCGGGTAGATACCAAGACAATCTGACGTCAGCGAACGTCAATTCTGATTTCGAAATGAGTGCTTTCTATCTCTAACGAAGACATTTCTTCTAGAGTTTTCAACCCAGCATTCAGCATATAACACTGTGAACTGTCTTTATTGAACTATGAATCCATGATTCACTCTCTAACCACGTATAGTAAAATGACACATAACATCAACACCACTTTAGCTGTTCTAGACTTTAGAACCACACAGACACATGTTCAGTATATGACCAGATACTTTTGCATTTGATTGAAGACAGACACTCAACATTTCTCTTAAACTCAACATCTGGGACAAGGCAGAGTTGAGCACCAGCAGATTCATCACAGTGCGCGTACAAGAAATGCATACATAAATATATAAAAGTGATCATGAATCTTTTTGATATGGATATTGCACGTACCAATATCGCAATAGCAATATTTTTTGGATATATGGTGCAGCCCTGTTCCCCGCCCCCTTGTGTGTGGCTGTACGCGTGTCCCCATAATAATTTTCTAAAATAATGTTTAAATAAACTGCATATAGGTAAAGTTGTGAAGACCAAAAAGCTTAGAAAAGTCTTCAAAATGATTGCTGGAATTTAGCAGCACTAGTTTCTTTACACCTCTTTCTTATTCATGTTGAAATCAATTGGAGGATCTTGGAGTCGTTGTTTATATTTTTTCCGCACCGGTCACGTGACTGGGTGGCAAAACAGCATAGAAAGCTACTTGGATGCTAGAGAGTTGGCTAGTTTTAGACTTTTGGAAAGAGGTTTTACTAAATCAAATAGTCCGTTCTTGTTGTGTGGTCAATATCTGGGTCCAGACAAAGTTTCTAATTCCTTTGGAAAAGAACAGCGATAAACCGCTGCGGTAAAGCGGTCCGCACAATAATAGCGGGTTGCCCTTTTATGCTGTTACCTATGGTAAACGTAGAACGGAAAGCCGGAGGGACGAGGGGATAAAAATTAATTACAAAACATTAAGTTTTGCAACTACTTTCACTGCACACTTGGTCACTGTGATGATGAATTTTAAAAATTGCATTTTGGTTGCTCATCCCCTTGGCTTCCTTTTCCATGTTTACCGTAAGTAACAGCATAAAGGAGCAACCTGCTCTTAATTTGTGGACCACTTTACTGCAACAGCGAAAAGCCGGGCCACTTTACTGCGGTGAAAAACGCGGACCCTTCTTGCGTGAAGGGTCCCAGGTTCTCTGTCTGGCCAATGTTTGTCGTCATCCCAGGTCTCATATGGGCTTTTAATTTGTTAGTTCGGTCTCATATACTTATTTTTAGCTTTTCTTTATATCTCCTCTGATCTGCTTGCGTTAAAGTGCTTGGATACAGTGCATTTCGCCCACTAAGTATTTTCAAAGTACTCGTTGTATCCATGCTTCAGTATGTGCCGCATGCGCACGCGGATGTAAACAAAGATCCTCCTTTTTGCTTATGAGGTTCTTTTTATGACACATAATGAACTTTTTATATTTTTTCTTTTGGCGTTGCTTTACCAGGTGGGCGGTGTCTTCAGTGATGACGCGTCAGAACCAGATCCCCACAGAGGATGGCAGCAGAGTGACCCTGGCCCTGATCCCTCTGTGGGACATGTGCAACCACACCAATGGCCTGGTGAAACACACACACACACGCACACACACGTGTCAGTACTGCAATCTCTTGTTCAAACTTGTATTTGGAAGCTTTGTTAGCACATATTAAATGCTCCATACTAAATGGAGACAATACTATTCTTTAACTCAAGGCGAATTCCTCTTCTGTTTTGTTGTGGTTCTCTATACATTGGAGCAAGCAAAAGACTTGATAGAAAACATATATAATTTATTACATTGTATAATCAACTTATTGGATCAAAAACCAAAGATTTTCTTGGTTAAATAATTCATACGCATAAAGACATTCACTTTGATGTTTCCCTGCCCAAAGACGGTGTAAATAATAACTTTATCTTCAAAAAGGACATCTGGCCCTTTCTCTACCTGCCTAAAGACTAATCCACTGCACACTTTAGAACATAGGGTTTTTCTGTATTCAATTAATCAAAATACATTTATTTATTGTTGATTATAATTATTTTACTTCTGCAGATCACCACTGGCTACAACTTGGAAGACGATCGCTGTGAATGTGTGGCTCTTCGCGATTACAAAGAGAATGAACAGGTGAGAGGGTTTCTCCACAGAGAAAATGGCACACATAGCTGCTGAGACAGGTGGAATAGCCATTCGTACACTGTTCAATCAAGAGTAGCTTTACAGTAAAATATTTTGGAGATTATTGTTAAGATTAAGTATAATTTGGTACATCACTATTGGTATTAAAGCTGGGAGTCTAACTTGTTTCTTGAATAACACTTGAAAATGTAAAATCAGATCACCACATGCTGTCTTCATCTTGTTAGAAAACATGTTATCTTTTGCATACTTGAAATAAAGAGCCCTGTGAGTCACTATTTGACACTTTTGGCTAATGTGAGTGACGGAGGTCAAAAATCTCTGCATGTGAAAACTAGTTTTAGGACCAAAGAACTAACTATATTATGGCTGTTGTTACATTATTCTGCCTTTAATGAATAATAGATCTATGTCATAGTTTAAATGTACATTATATGAATGCATTCTATTTTACTACTCTGCCTTTTGATTTAACTGCATTTCCATGATGGTACATTATTTGTGATGATGTGACTGTTGCCGTGGTGGCTCTGATTTATGGTCCTCAGATCTACATCTTTTACGGCACGAGGTCGAACGCAGAGTTCGTCATCCACAACGGCTTCTTCTTCCAGGACAACGCCCACGACAGAGTCAAGATCAAACTGGGCGTCAGCAAGAGTGAGCGGCTGTACGCCATGAAGGCCGAGGTGCTGGCCAGAGCCGGCATCCCCGCGTGAGTCTCAGCAGTGTGTCTGTTTCTGAGTTCAGGCTTTTGAACACTGTTGCAGGAGGCTGGAGGTCCAAAGAAATACACCATCACAAACATGTAAACTCAGGCTGGAGAGGCCCAAAGACTCATGCCTACCTATATCGCAATTCAAATTCGCACATTTCTATGAGTGCAATTTTGTGTGCTTTTTACACTGTGCTTCTCAGTATAACATGACGGCTACCTTTATTCAAAGTTAGAAGAAAGCTTTTTTGGCTTGTTTGCACTGCAATGATTAGTTATTACATTTAAGAGGGACACTGTACAACCACAAACATGTAAATGCATGCTTACATCTAGACAGTTTGTACAGTCAGGACTAAACTATGTATATATTAAAACTCTTTGTAAAGTAGTAAAAAAAAAAAAAAATGAAAAAAAAAAGCAGTCTCTGGTGTTTGGTGTTGTTAAAGTACATAAATTCCAAATAAGTTACAGCTTTAAGTCTGCGTCTTAATTTCGCGATTATTCTTTTTTACTTATGGAATAATTATTAATCATTTCATTACTTGGGTCAACCTTTGATCTTGAATTCTAAATGAATACCATTGCGTGCTATAACTAAAAGAATGTGAAAAATGATGCATAAAATCATCAACAGCTCTTCGTTTTCAAAATCGGAAAATTCTGGTATTTTACACTTGACTGAAAACTGCTTATTTGGAAACCAATGCCTCTTAGTTCTGTGAGCTTCAGTGTACGAACGGGGGCAGCAGTTTTTGAGTCTCCCTTTCCACACACACTTCCTCCAGCTCATCTAGGGGATTCCTGAGGCGTTCCCAGGCCAGCTGAGAGACATAGTCTGTCTAACGTGTCCTGGGTCTTTCCCGGGTCTCCTCACGGTTAAACATGCCCAGAACACCTCCACAGAGAGAAGCAGCGACTCTACTCCGAGCTCCTCTAAGGGAGCGCCCTTTCACTCTGCGGGGGAAACTCATATCAACCGCTGGTATTCCCGAACTCCTTTTGGTCATGACCAGAGGTGAGGTAAATCCGCAAGAATCCGGTAAATCCATAGCTTTGACCATCTACTCGGTTCTCCTTTCGCCTCAACAGTCCGACCACATCACTGACACATGCAATCTCACGCTTAAACCTTTTCCTCACTGAAAACCAAAGCTGAGATTCTGGAATAACTTTAATTCATCATTAATATAGTAATGGAAGTCTAAAAGGTTTTCAGTCGAATTTGAATTTCTCAAACACGCTGGAGTATTTAACCTGGTGGCTAAAGTTTGTGTCAAGGACGGCTGCAGGCTTCCCCTAACTCTACAACCTTTATATCTCTGCTCTTTAGTCTTCCGTCTGTAGATGTTTCAGCCAATTAGTCGCCCCTTCGGCATAATTGAATCACATAATATAAATGTTGCAGTAGCTTTCTTTCCTTCTTTTTTTTCCTCCCACAACAGCGAGTATCAATTTACCATCCGCCCCAATGCTTTCATCACCAAGACGCTTAATCATTTTATCATTAGCCTCTTAATTTTATGCAGCATTTTAAATCAGCCGTCTTTTAATCTCTTATTGATGACAGCCGAGTCTCAACAGTGAAATTAAATGAAACAAACCCCATTGTTGCTGCGCAGATCTATTACTATGACACGTTCGCCCGTAGATCATTTTCAAAGGAAACAGCCACTGATCCTCTGCAGGGGCCCAGAGCCGAGATGCCAAACTTCTGCCGTCATCACAACTGTTTTCATGGCGCAAAAATATCTGATACCGAGGCTGTGATCATGTGAGACTTTTGATTCACGCAGCTGCAGTAGATAAAGTAATGTATGGATAAAATATTTAGCACTGTATAAAGTAATTTGAGAAATAAATTGATTTAGCCTTTCACATGATCCACAGCAGTTAAACAGTTCAACAACAGGGGGTGGAAAAAACAAAAACATTAATTTAAACAATAATAACTGCATTGGTTTCATACAGTGCTTTCCTGGACACTCACTCAAAGCTTCACATGGCATTATTCATTTGCACACAGTGGTGATAAATGTTGTCGCATCTACATTGAGGCAGACCAACTGAAGCGTGTCAACTAGTGGTAACTGATCTGGGCCCCTCCTCCCACCACCATTCACGCACGCACTAGACTCATGGTGGGTAATGTGGGTGAAGTGTCTTGCCCCGATTCGTTTTTGTTTTTGTTGTAAATCTGTGTTATTTGTGCAACTTTATCCATTCATTGTTTAAAAACCAGGTACCACTGCTTTAAGATTAAATATTACTTATTTCCTTTCATTTGTCTAATGGAAGTGAGGTTACTAAATTGTGCAATCGACCCCTCCCAGAACCATCACCATTCACACACACACACCAGACTCGTACTATTTTGCTTGTTTTTATTTAGACCCCTTTGGGCTACTTAAACATGCAGTAGCTATTCTTCCTGGGGTGTTTTTTTTAGTTTTTTTTTTTTGGGTGCAGCAAAAAGTGTCACCTCTGGCCTCTCTCGCAGTAGTCATGTCTTTTATTTAGAAAAAAATAACACACCCTCACATGGTAAGTCCCCCAAAAGGTAAAGCTATTCATTAAGTACTTGTTGGACATTGTAGTTTCGCAAGACACCCTAAATGTGGATATACTGTTTGGGTTAACATACTAAAAGGTGTTGAAACCAAGCTCCACAAAGTTTGGCTCTAGATTGATAAACTAAACGGCAATCCAGATGTATGTACTCATCAATGTCACAATTGCATGGAAATTGACAATTTATTTACAACAAAAAAATTATAAAAAATACAGAAATGCTATAAAAATGTCACCTTACATTATATACATACATACATACAGCCTATACACACGTGCACACTCACAACACATAGTATTGGCAACATTAAGCAGCGAAATCAATAACAACAATTTTTACATTTCTACATTACATTAAACATTTAATTATCCAAGCATTCAAACACAAAGTCATTGCTATTCTTTAGAAAATTCATCCCTACTATGAGAAATTCTCGTTATACAGTAAAAAGCAGGCCCTGCCGTGCTTAGTCGTGCCACACTTGATTTGAAAGTTGTCATCTCGAAGGACTATCGGCCACAGGCTCTCTCTCAATCTCACCTTTCAACAAGAATGGGAGTCAAACCACTAGATAGTCAGCAGAGCCTGAGTGACGTTTGCATGTTCTTCCGGTGTCTGCATAGTTTTTTTTTTTCTCTTGGTGCTTTAGTTTCCACTAAAACATGTAACCTACGCTCTGGGCCCTTGACAACATTGATTCTGGTTTCTCCCTGGAATGTCCCTGGTTAAATAATTGTCAATAAAACAACACATTTTACAGGTTTGATTATTGCTTTAATTGGTATAGACTTGGCAAAGCAATGAAACGTACAGTATCATCATTTAAAGTTTCTATCACGCTAAATGCTTTTACAGCACTCTCTCACAATGACACTGGACTTGTAGAGCAGTTTAAAAATACTTCTGTAGTGAGTGTGTTTGCCCATCTCCTGGTTCCTCTGTAGTCCTGGAAAGAGGCCTAATGTAATAAGAGGCCGAAGAGCGTGTAATGCGTTTTGTGCTGTAATAATGTCGACCCTGTGCTCCCGACGCCACATCGATCACTTTGCTGAAACAGGAGGAAAATATTGTCCTCTTCCAAAATTACCCCTCCATGTAATATTGGGTATTTTATGATGTGCGCTGCATTCTGCTGATCCTGGAAGCCGCTTGGACATTGTTTCTGTGCCTCTGTCGAATTCTAGCACAAAAAAAACCATCCAGGATTTAATCTATGGGCGCTTCAGTGGCCGCAGCACTGTGTAAACTTGTTAGTGGACATTCTTTGATTTGGTTACTTGCCCTCAGGGACACAATCTCCTCAATAAGAAATATTATAAGTACTAAAAAGTGTTAGAGAAGTACAGTCGTGCACTCTTTGCTTTGAAGTTCAGGACGGAGGTATCATGGCTTTCAAAAAAGTAAATCAAAGATATCATGCTCAAGTAAAAACGCTACTGCGCATATTGTGTGCACCATGTGCACTTGCATATTGTACATGGTAACTGTAATTATCTTATTTTAAATTGTATTCCTTAAAAGTGTATGCTGATTTATTATGCCTTACTCTATTCTTTCTTCTGACTGTTGCACCAAAGCAATTTCCAAGTCTGTGACTTCCTGTTACTTACGTGGCAATAAAAATCATTCTGATTCTGATTCTGAATTTAGTGATGATGCAGGATCAGAACAGAACAAAATGGTCTACTTTCAAGTGGCATCCGGATATTAAAGCATTTAGTTTTTCCTCTACACATGTATGATTGTTCCATATATCTTATGACAAAAATCAGTCCACTGAATTATCATTAATAATTATTACAAAAGCCTTAGTTTTCTTTTGCTTTTTGGACACTCCCAGGTGCTGTTGTGTTCAACTTCAGAGGTCTGACGGGATCTGGCTTTCAAAAGCGCAGGTGGCACTATGAAAAAAATTGCCTTGCAAACTTGAGATAATCTGTCCTGTTTATTGAATTTCTATAATTACTAAACATGAGAAGTCTTGTATCACTGCAGTATTTAAGTAAATGTATTCAAAGGGAATACATAGATGTAACGTATAAAGAATACAAAGTCCTTATCGGCCCTTATCTGCAAAACAGAATGCTTATAGTGGGAGAACAAGATCAGATTGTTGTCAAAATAACTGGAGTTGAGTCATCCTTGGCTGAACCATGAAATCAAAGTTTCACTATGTATTGTGAATTAGTTTACTGATGACCATGGATACATTACATAGACATTACTGTAAATTTGTCATACCAGTATATTAAAATCATATCTAAGATTTCCACAACAATCTATTCTGTTTTAAAATAAAATGGTTTAATCATGGTAACATGCATGTTTTGATTTTCTTCCTAATGTAGTGATTGCTGTCTTCCAGGTCATGTGTCTTCGCCCTTCATTGTAACGATCCACCGATTTCTGCCCAGCTCCTTGCCTTTCTGAGAGTTTTCTGCATGACTGAAGGTAACTATCACAGGGTTTAGTGAGATTACAGAAATACCTCCACAATGTCAGTTAACAAAAGAAAACCTTAAAAAACTAATAAAATCCAATCCAGTTTTTACTCCCATCTAGCGTTGAGATCGTATATTGCTAGTCTACTTCTACCACCAACACTATGGAATCCTCTGAGGACCACATGTTGTGTTTGACAGTGGTCCCCAACACCCGGTAATTCACCGGAACACTAAGGAAAGAATTCTTTAGTTTGACAAATGACCGGATCTCTCCAAACACTACCATGCCACAAATGTGTCTTCACGCATGTGCGCGAAGGCGGACATGTAAACAAACTCCGCATTGTGAAGCGGCATGCGCTGCACAGAGGTGTTTTACCATGGATCTATTATAATATGTAGTTTTAAAATGCAGTGAGAAGAGACGCCTGGAGGAAATCTGTGGGAGCTTAAAACCAAAATGATCCGAGAAGCCAGGACATTGCCTTGGACACAGCCACAGCAGAACTGAGGCTAAAAGCTTAGATTATTGGCTTTCACCAGGCGCTGCAGAGGCAAACCGGAGGTAAAACAGAGGTTCTGTTGAAACTTGTGAGTTGTGACATAGTAGTTGGACTTGGAGCGGGTCAGAACCATAGACTGTTACACAGGTCTCAGAATGTTCTTAATACTTACAGATTCTGCCTCATTCCCATTACTGTCAGTGTGAAGAAAGTTACGAATTGTTCAGGTGCGCATATGTCGTGTACAAACTACATCAATGGGCCTCCTGTTGTTTTAACAGGCCTTTCAGTGCCTGTGGTTTGCGATGTTGATGATGCCGGTTTCTAAAGTTTTTCATAATTATTTTTTCTAAAAGATTGTTGTTTGGGACAGTCTTTGATATAACTATGGTCCTCCATGGTTCTTTTACATAACTGTGGTCCTCCATGGTTCCTACTTCAAACTTGTGAGGGCACAGTGGAAGCAACGTTATTAGTAGCACCTGTCAAACGAAAACACAATTCTTGCATCCCTTTTGTCCCTTATCACCCAATGTATCGCTAGCTCTCATGTACATTTAGAATTCAAATTCTAAGTATATGACAACAATTCAAATACATGCCGGAGGTAAATATTCTTAGAAAGGTCACATTTGTTTTTGGTTAACATGTTTTTTTTTTCTTTATTTGGAGCAACTGTAAAGATTACACAGTACTTTGTTTTAATTCAAAAATATGTTTTGGGTGTCTCATCATTTTTTTTATTTTTTTTAAATGTATGTGGCCATCTTGCATGCGAAAGCCAGATCCTGTCAGACATCTGAATCTGTGCAGGGCAGGGCCTGGTTATTTGTATGATGGGAGACGTCTAGGAACACTACAGCTGCGGCTGTAATATGCCTAACTGTTGTTGTGTCCTTAGGCAAGAGTTTTATGAGTTTATTGTTACGAAGGAGACCTGTTGCCGCACTTCCTTATTCATTCTAGCCGAATGCATTTATGTGCAGCCTCTAAACGGAACCTCCTTAAAACATGGTCGCATCAACGGCTCAGTAAGGCAATCAATCATTCACATTTTGCTGTTTTTGAAATGAAAATGTATGAAGAAAGTAAAACCCGCAGGAATTAAGTGGGACAAAACGGTTTAACAACTATAGCATGGACAAGAGCTGTGAGAAGTCCTGATATTAGAAACTTCTGGCTCAGGAATTTCTGTCTAAAAACTCCTATGACATCAGACTCGGAGCAGTTTTCTGAAACGAAAGTATTGGTCACTTTTGAATTTATGAAAAAACATGAATTGGCAAAGTACAAAAATATTTGTTTTAAGTCCTCATTCAAACAAACCCAGAGCATTGCGTCCACGACTGAAAGGGGCAAACAGAGGAAGCGTCATGGAGAGCAGGGCCTATCCGTTCCCCGGCTTAATTGATCAAGGCAGGCCACCAGATGTGGAGGAGCAGCAATCCACCAGGGGTTTGCAATATTCATCCGCATGTATGCCGAACGCCAGCGGTGTCATAAATCCCCAAGCGCACAAGGCCACATCCTCCGTCGTCGCCACACTCTTCCCCAAGACCCCACTTGATATATTATTCACATTTTTTGCTGCATGTTAATTTTTAAAAGGGCCCGTGGATGTGTGTGCGGGGGTATCATGGCTTAGCGCGCGTGTGTTGACAGTTCGGAGCAGATGCAACATGATGGAATAGCGTGTGCGCACAAGCGGGGCGCGCGAGTCGGGCTCTTTCATCTTCCGCGTGTAACTAAGCCATGTTTAACTCGTCACATCAAAGCAGCCAGGAGAAAGGTTTCAGGAGCAAGAGAAACCTGCCAAGACTTTCTCCATACATTTGGGCCACTAATTGCAAAGGTTGTCTCGAGATGAAACTGTGTTGGATTCGGCAACTTTCAGGGTGAGGTTAGTTTTGTCAGCACCTCTTGGTGAAGAATGTTGCAATTACTTTCATGTATTTTCAGTAATAACCTTTATTTGAACAGAACAAAACAATTCTCATTTACAAGCTTGGCCAGTCCAAGAGACGATAGCCAGTCAATGTAACCTTCGAAACATTATATTGAATCTTTAGTGACAATATGGCTGCTGAACAATTGAGTCACATATCGCTATATAAAGCTGTACTTGACCTTTTTATTGTAAAAGTAAAATGTTGTAAATGTTGTTCATCTTTTTATTAACCCTATTTTTTGCATACTTGTAAGCGAGAGACCTATTTGATGCTTTGGGGCGTGAGCTGATTGGCAGAGAAGTTCCTCCCCAGGGAAGCACACACTGGTGGGACTTTGTCTCTCAGCTGGCCTGGGAATGACTCCGGATTCCCCGAATGAGGAGGAATTTTGCATGGAGAGGGGGAAGTTTTGGCGTCTCTTTTCAGGCCCCGTTTAGATGGAGACACTGCAACAGTAAAGCATTAGAGTTGGGTATCGGTTTGGGATCCTGTTTACATGGAGACGGTGTGTCAGGGGGGTGAAAACGCAAGCGTTGAGAAACGGCCTTCAGAGTGGAACAAACCAGATACACTGAGTGGCGGGGGGCTGTTTCAGGGGAAAAAGATGTGAATTCTCTGCTATGACCTCACCACTTCCCCGCACGAACATTTGGGCATGCGCAGTAGCTAAGAACAAACATAAACAACAATGGCGGTGGGTACACTAATGCTAACGTGTGCTTTGCGCACTACACGGAGGAGAGAATTCTACTTCTTTGTCCAAACAAACCCACGCAAAGCTCTAGTTTCAGTATCTATTGTCGCTGCTGCTATTAAATGATGAACGATGTTGGTGCATTGTTTCATTCATTATTATGTTGTTGAGGAGGTGGTTACGCTGCTGGGGGTCATGTGTGTTGTAGCATTCCACGGCCAGGTACTGGCCGGGCGATAGAACTACGATGTTTTTTGTTGTTGTCTGAACACTGTGCCATTTGAATAAGGAGCCTGGTCGTTTTTGGTAATTGCTTCGCAGCGTCTTTGAAGTGTCTCTGACTGCTGCTGGACATAGTTATCGATATGCATGACTATAAAGTCAAACTAAAATTAGCAGTTAGTGTGTAATATTGGTCTTGGTCTCTTTTGTTCAATGCAATTTTCATGCTGAAGAAAAAAAATCCAATACATAAAACATGCTATTAATGTCCACTAAGATTGTGTCTGGCTTTCAGACAAATCAACAAAAGAGCCACATCTGGCTCCCGAGCCAGACGTTCCATGACCTGTTGTACAGTATAGTATACTGTAATATATTTTATTAAAATGTTTGTTGGTTGCTCTTCACAGAGGAGCTGAAGGACTACCTGCTTGGAGAAGGAGCCATCAATAAGATCATCACTCTGGGCAATAGTGATTTCCCCGTTAGCTGGGAGAACGAGATCAAGCTGTGGACTTTCCTTGAGACCAGAGCCGCGCTGCTGCTGAAAACCTACAAGACCACCACTGAGGTAAACAATTGTGGACACCAGATTAGGGTTTTAACAGGGCTTCCTTCACTATCACAAGTGGGACTACTTTTAGGCAATTTGAGGAGTTATATATTATGAAAGCAAGGTATGCATACAGCCACTGTTGCCAAAGAGGCAGACTAACCCTAATCTTACATTTTTGAAAAAAAAAACGGAACATACAAAACAATTGATCAGAAAAAGTCTTATGACCAACTAAAATAACCATAAACTGACCTAGAACTGAACTAGAAACAAACTATTATAATATTATTTATCCTCGCTGTGTGAAGGAGAGGTTTCGCAGGTCCTTCCTTCCTGCTGCTGTCAGACTGTACAATGAGAACTGTTGAGTCTATACACTCACCCTTTCAGATATTCACTTACCTGCTTCTATTATTACCATTGTGTGTTTATAGTCTCTGCTGTACAATATAAATATATATATATATAAATATAAATATATATAAATATAAATCTGTAAATACCTCCTACTGACAGGAGGTATTTACAGTGTATACTCCTGCTGTACTATCCTTGAACCAAGTGCATTTATAGCTCCAGAGTTTTAATTTTATTTTATTATCTTAAATGATAGATCCTGTTTGATGTGTGTAATCTTGAGTGCTCTTATTTCCTCCTTTCTTATATTTTGCTGTAATGTGCTCATAGTTGACATTGAAATTTCCCTACTGTCGAACAAATACAAGTCTATCTTATCTTAATTTTAGTCTTTTTCAAATGTTTTTGATTATGAAAATGTAAGAGTATTTTTATGGAGACTAGCTAATTGGATACTGTTTTTTATTTTAGATTTTTGGCGAGCCACGGAATTCCTTGTTCTAGTTATAGCCACAAGCTAAACCTGGCTTGAAACGGGATACTTTAACATCAGTTGGTAAAACCATTTGGATTTCACTGGTAGAAATAATCTAAAAGTGACAACTGCTGTTTTATGAAATACAATATACACTTTTTTGGCATATAAAACATACTTCAATATCTGTTTTTTTTTTGGGTTGTGAATGTCCATCTTGTGCATTTTTGTACCAGGAGGACCGGTCCCTTCTGGAGAAGCCCGACCTGTCCTTGCATTCCCGCGTTGCCATCCAACTGCGCGTGGCCGAGAAGCAGATCCTGGAGAAAGTGTCGGCCAGCGGCCGAGACAAACGCATGCAGTTTGAGAAAAAGAAGGCAGAGGGTGCCCCGCTGCCCCGGTACGAGGAGAGCGACATCGCTCTGCTTGAGAACTCTGATGCGGAAGGGAAACTGCCCATCCTCCTGCGTCAGCTGGAAGAAGTCCAGGAGGAAGCTGTGCAGGAGGAGGAGGAGGACAATCGCCTAATGAACGGAGACAAGAGCGCAGAGAGTGTGGTGGAGAAAGGTAGCAAAGATGTTAATTCAAATTTGGACTTTGAGGGAAAGTCTATTGAATCGTCCAAAGGCCAGAAAGAGGAGGCCAATCTAAGTGCCAGTCGGACTGAAGAATGATTACAAATATCTAACGTTTTGCCATTGGTTGATTAATTTATTTTGTGTCTACTAAAAGTGACTCAGAAATAGTAGAATAAAACAAAATTGCCAATAGTTCACTCAACGCGGCTTCATTTAGCAAATGTTTATGTTGCCGACCTTCTTCGCAGATCAGTTTCTGGTCAAGAATCGCAATGAAACGCTTTTTAAAATCTTGAAGTTTGCGGAGCAGTAAAGGGAAGATCGGTTGCATTTACATGACATCACAGAAGTGTCAAAAGTTATTTGTTAGAAGGTTTATAGCGTAAGAGTTTTGCGGTAGAATGGTTGGTTGAGCTGGTTAATGGTTAATAATTACAAATTCTAAACATAGGCGCATAATTTATTGTCTTTTCTGTCAAAAATGTAAAAAAGTAGTCATTATAGTATGGGTACCTTATTTTAAACCTCTGTAACTAGTTGGTAACTCAAAACCGTGTTGCTGCATCACTGGTATTTAAATGCACATAGTTTCTGGGCTCAGCTACAGCTTTAGAACACATTTTTGTCGATGGAAAAGTGAAGTGCCACTTGCTTGGCCATACCTTGAAGTACCTTGATTTCTCGGTCATTTTTAGAGACTCTGATTTTCTTTTGGTGGTGAAGTCGTTTTTTTTTTGTCAAATATATTTGCCCTTTATACCCTGGTGACACAAAAGTTAAATTGACACTAATTTTGTGATCTCACCATTAGTATCTGTTTGCACTAGGGCTGCACGATCGAAATGGCGAGTGCGATATCCATATTGCCGCCATGTTCGATAACTTTTTTATTAACGGGTGAAAATCATGCGGTTCTTTCTCATATATGCTTGATTTTGCTCTGACCAATTAAAAGGCAACCTTAAATGCTCATCCCAAAATTGGCCGGAGCTGTAAAACTGTAATGTGGGAGCAGTTTAGCACAACGCCCACATTACAGTTTTGTATTGTGGGATTTTGTGGCTTCAGGAGAGAGCGGCAGGGTGGAAAACAAAGACTGTCTATCGAAAATGTGCAGCATTGGTTGGAACTAGGTTTTAAAAGTAGATGAGGACATTTTTTGTTTTTGAATCATTGTTTATATTATCAGAAAAATGGCTGTGGAATCAAATAGGAATTCAGGGTATGGAAACTTATGAGCCCAACTTTTCATCGACTCAAAGGCTTTTTATAAATAATAAAAATGTATGGGGAAAAAACTTAGGTACTCCATCTTGAACTAATTCGACAACATTATTTGACCATTGTTTACAGATAAGTTGTTAAAGTTGTCTGTATGTAACTGCGATGGCTGTCGAACCACTTGATGACGCCACAGCTCTAGGTCAATCCATATCAAGGATATGAAGATGTATATGCATATTTTTTAGTATTTCAGCAATAAAACGTGTCATTAAATAGGATGCAAGGTACAGATTTCAATTCAAACTTCCGTCAGAAAAGTTACTTGAACCACAAAAAAATACACTGAATTTTCAATCCAGTTTTTGACAGGTTCCAATTTGCGTGTTCTGTCTTGAATTGACTTTCTAAATTCTTGTATGCATCGCCTTTTAGAGAGATGAGGGACGCTTCACTTATGGCTGAGAAAGTATAGGGGAAAAACATTTATAACGTTTATTTTCCGCAAAGTCAAAATTGCTCCAACGTTGATATTACGGCTGTTTGTCTCCATCTGTGTCCAGCTAGTTTTGAGTTGACAATCATGTATTTTCTTTCTGTAGGCCTTCTCTGCCTGATCTTGGCTACATAGACTTTTAATTTTGTGCAAAAATGTAACACGAAAGCAGAAATTGACACATGTTCATTGATCCTTTATTCTGTTCTGTCTATTGAAATACTTTGAATGTACTTTTGTCATATTTTTGGATAAAGGGAGATGAGGGGAAGCCCTGTCTTGCTCAATAAAAGCCATAAGTACTTATTTTGAATACCTGAAGTTATGGTCCATGACATTTATACTTTTTTGTCATAATTAAGCTAGTTTGTGTGAGAAATGAGAAGGCACTGTAGTTTTTTTATTTGTCATGACCCCTAGGACTGACTGTTTGCACTGATAAAACATGTTAAGATTGTTTTAATTAAGCATTGTGTCTAAAAAGTTCCCTCAGTTACTGTGCAGTCGCATTTGGTGGTTGCAAACATAAATATTAAAATCTTGTCCATGCTAAGGCTTCATGCTGTTATCACTTCCAGCTCTGTATGCATTTGAATATGCAAACAATGGTAATATGTGGACTTAATCTGATGAAGAAATTTTCTAAAATGTCACATCCCCAGTCAAAAATCTATAAAAAAAGACCTTTATATTATCATTTGATTTAATTGTAGCTATTGATTTGTATTTGCAGTACTTGCTGGACTATAAGCCTAAATTGTTTTGAAGCCTGTGGTCTGTTTAGCGACACATCCAATGTATGTATGCTGCTTTTGTCAGAGCGCCTCTTGGGTGCAAGGAGGACACAGCTCATCAGCTGTTGATCTCCAGAGCAGATGATGCAGCACACACTTGCTTCAGTGTGTTTATGTGTGTAGCAGAGAGGGACACAAGGAAATGTTGAAATACAGGAGTGTGTGTGACTAGGACAGTGTCATTTCAGAGTTTTATTTTTTTGACTCCAAGCACCAGTGGGGACAAGACAATATTTTATTGTACAAATCTATTGGCTTTAGCTCAGTACTTTGATGCTCATGAGTCAACAGTGCTTAAAACATCCACTCTGTTTTGTTTTGCTCCATCAGCAGTTAAGTGTTACAATACTGTGTGGCCTATATGTCGAACAAAATACTTTCTTTAAAATTTAGCCGGTGCAGTTTCTATACAGGTGCGCTTAAAAGTTAAGCAAGTACTGTGTTTTGATAGATGCATCTGATATGTCTACAATTATGGCTGCATCCAAATTCATTCACAAATGGCTTCCTTGTTCTTCCTCCTTCTGTACAGTAAGCATGGTTACACAAAATGATACGAGATGGCAATAGAAACATTTTATAAAAGGACTTGAAATTTAGCTGACAAAACCTGGAGCTCAGAATAGGCCAATTTAAAAGAGCAAAACCGTGTAAGGAAGGTTTTTCTGAATTTGGATGCAGTCTTAGTGTCTGGTCGGTCAGAAGTTGGGAGTTTTGAAGTTGGAATAGTGAATGTACATTTCACAAAGGCTCGTCTAATTGACTAATAATTATCTCTTGAATCAGTCTGTCAACCTCATGGATTTTGCTTTTTATTGAGTTTATTACATGTTACTAATATTACAATAAGTTGAAGTAAACTTGAAACTGAAAAAACCTTTTGAATGAGATTGATATTTTCAACCAACTTTTATTGTTTTGTAGGGGGCAGTTTTTTTAAATTAGATCCGTGTTTTAAGTCACCAATCCATCTCTTTCCTCCCTGAATTTGATCATGGTTTTACAACATTGTTTGGGTATTTTTTAGGACTAAAACTTAATTTTATGAATTCACTTTGTATTAATACTTTCTGAACACAGCTTTTTCCACACATGTAGCACCAACACATATTGCATAGTTTCTACCTGGACTTAAGTGCATTCTGACTGAACTAAATTTGTCAAGTACAAAATGGCTCAGGGAAAAATTAACACTTACATTTCTGACCTAAAATAGGGAAAGGTTTTTACTCATAAAATAAGACTTTACTTGCCTGATCTATTGGTAATTCTTAGTTTAAAATTCAAATGATAATCAATCATAAGGAATGCTAAATTCAACCAGCAATACAAGACTCCTTTATTTTACTAACTCATTTAAAAAATATTGTATCAATCAATTCCCATTTGAGAGTCATACGTGCACTGTTACATGGATTTCATTAGATGTTTTGTGGGTTTGAAAGTTGGGTACCCCAGCTTTAATATAGTTTAAAATGTCCCAAAAAGTTTTCTGTGTTTTGAAAGGGGAAAAGATGCTATTTTCAGGTGGTGGTGGCGGTGGTAGTATATTGAGTCCTCAGACCACCACCACACAAAATAAATATTCACAATAAAATGAACCTTGTCAAATGCATAAAAAAATGGTAGTTTGAATTCTGCCTCCAGAATCCACAGTCAATAACATGTCTCACTAACAATAAAAGCCCACTGCGTCTCTCTTCTTTTCCCCTTATGCTGTTTTTTCTATCTTTGAGTCAAAACATCTCCGCTTGTCGACTTGCGAGGGTCACCACACATATTATTCCTCCTTTTCTCTCCTTTTGTTGAGCGAAAATGGCTTATTTAATGTATTTCCCCTCTTCCATGCCCCCTGGCCCTATTACGAATTTATAAAAGAAACATTATCTTGAATCATTTAATTCGGGGCAATTAAATTTTGAAGTATACGTACATTATTCATGGTTGCCTGAGATAAAACGGCTTTAATCCTTGAATATATTATTATAATGGGCATCGGGATGGGCAGCGGAGAGAGAGGCTTGTCCACTATTGTTAGTTCTCCCTGTGTCAGTGCCGGGAGCAGACTGGGGACCATGTAAAAACCGAACGTATGAATTATAGACTGATTTCTATATTAGCAACGAGCCCAGAAGTGGTCCGACTCGCAGCGGGACGGACTGGATGTCATGCGAGTGTTTACTGGTGTCATGCCATAAGCACAAAAGGTAAAGCAGAGGTCAGCGTATAGTCTCTCTATAACTACTGAGACGTCAATATCGTTTTTTATAACTTTGGGATCGTACACCACCACAAAGAGATTTAGATATAAGGGTTCTGTCATCCAATACATTTGATGTCTTCCATTCTAGGTCTTTTGGTGTTGCTGAACTCATGGTGCGTTATTTCTATTTCAGATAGTAAGTATGTATTATTTGTTAGACACGATGGGACAGCTAAAGAATCACTTGACACAAAGTGCTTAACAAAGTTTTGGAGCTCCAATATTTTTTCATTCACTCCTCACACAATGATGACGTAGAATATTCACATTATATTCAGATCTATTGTACATGACTTTAGTGATAGACTAAACCATCTTTGGA